GAAAAATGGACCCTGATAACTCTGCCAATTTCTAGGATTTTTTCCACTTGAATTTGTTGAGGAGGAATATTTGAACCAGTGGCATTCCCTGCTCCACTCAGATCCAAATGGCATCAGGCAACATGTACTGAATATTTTTCTCGTGGTAGCATTAGAAAACGCAATCCAGAATCGGAATCCCATAAAGTGGCCAGCACACAGGACAAAGAACAGGAACTTCATTTTAACAGATTTTTAAAATGTCCACTTGATTGCATCTTACTTTGCCCCAATCGATCTTGGAATATATCTATAGAGTGGCTGAAGGACAATTAAAACTGTCCACATTTCAGAACTGGTCATAAAATTTATAGAGAACATGGAGATCATCAAATAAATCTTAACCTCTCTCTCTGTCTTTCTTTCCCCCATTTCTGTTTCTTTAGAGATTGGAGCGTTTGTGTTGACCATTCCATGCTAGCCTCAATAGCAAGATGAGAATGCAAACATTGACTTGGTGCATTCGTACCAAACTGCTGCAGTATAATTTCTCTCATTTTTGAAACTAGCATGTAAGGAACACCATGAACTTAGTGTATGTAAAATATGTCTAAAGTGAGGACTCAGGCACAGCAATATTGTTCAAGTAGTGTACTGCATTTGTATACTTCATTTGTATTTATACTTATTTTCAATCCCTCCATACCACCTCATATCAAGAGTTCTCTGGAAAGTTCACAACTAAAAAAAAAGTATAGTGCAGCTGCAATTAACAAATAACAAATGTCTCATTAATTAAAGTCATGTTTGTGAGTAGAAGGGATCACAGCAAAGCCACCGTAGCTGAACATTAATCCGCAATTTATCCTGGGCCAAGATGTTAAAATCCAAGCATTGTATACATTTGTTATTTTGCATACATTTTTAGTGCATTGTCTCAGAAATTGAGCTAATATACATCCTTCCTCCCTCTACCAATTTAAATAAAAACATTCTTTGTTGTTTTCTACAGATTTTTAGCCTTGTACAAAGGATTGGTGCCTAAAATCATGAGACTAGGACCAGGTAATTTTTTTATTAAAAAAATCTAGTGCATTTAATCCTGCCTTGATGGTATTTTTGTAAATGTTATCTTAATATTCAGTATTACTGTTAAATATTATTAAGATGAAATATATATAAATACAAATATTGTATTATTGAAATTAAACGACTGTTTGAGTTTTTTTTATCTTATTGCAATTTTTCATTGCTCTTATAGCAATTGATGCAGCCTCATTCATAGCTGCCTGCAGAAACATGGGGCAGAAACATGGAAGGAAACCTTCCTTTATAGCTGATCCATATAATGAAGCACACACCTTTTTAAGTGTGTAAGAATCTTGTGTGTTTAGAATGCATTCTAGATACCATTCGCAAATTCTTATAGCCCTGTACCTGTAGAGGTGCAAATGTAGAAATAAACATGAGGAGGAAAAAATGGGATTAGCTCTTTTCTCAGTCTCCACAATTGTGTTGTATTGATTCTAACCTGTGCCCAGGATTTATGCCCTAACACATATATGTTGGGAATGCTGATCTGTACCCTGTAACAATGCAGAGCCTATACACAGAAGCTATCATCAATACAGCAACATAGCTGTCAACGTTTCCCTTTTTTTAAGGGAAATTCCCTTATTCCGAATAGGATTCCTCACAAGAAAAGGGAAAAGTTGACAGCTATGATACAGCAAGGGCAAGGGCAGAGTTGGCAGCCTCAGTCTCATTTCCCTCCTCCATGTATTCATTTACACCATTGTTTAACAATCTGTCATGGGTCAAAATGTCAATTTGCTTTGTGCATCCGATGAGTCAGGCTTTTGCCTATAGAGCTTATGCCATAAATAACCTGGCATATCTCTATCACACAGTATTTCTGACTTTGGGTTGGCTTGATAACTTCCCTGTGTTAACAAAATAAAAAAAATCCTTCCAGTAGCACCTTAGAGACTAACTTTGTTATTGGTACAGTGGTACCTCAGGTTACATACGCTTCAGGTTACATACGCTTCAGGTTAGACTCCGCTAACCCAGAAATATCGCTTCAGGTTAAGAACTTTGCTTCACGATGAGAACAGAAATCTTGCTCCGGCGGCGCGGCGGCAGCAGGAGGCCCCATTAGCTAAAGTGGTGCTTCAGGTTAAGAACAGTTTCAGGTTAAGTACAGACCTCTGGAACGAATTAAGTACTTAACCCGAGGTACCACTGTATTAGCTTTTGTGTGCATGCACGCTTCTCCAGGTAGTAAGCCGTTGCCATTAGAACTGCCATATCGCATCATCTCAAAAGCAACAGTTGGTATCCAGTGCAGCTTAGTTGCACTCACAGATGGATCCCGTCCAAGAGCAGTAGCTCCTTATGTTCTTGAAGCAAAAGCAATGGATTCTATCTAATGTTTTTTTCATTCACACAGCCAGCTGCGGGTCATAGAAAGATGGAACGACCCTTAGATGTAGTTCAGGCATAGGCAAACTCGGCCCTCCAGATGTTTTGGGACTACAACTCCCATCATCCGTGACCACTGGATCTGTTAGCTAGGGATGATGGGAGTTGTAGTCCCAAAACATCTGGAGGGCCAAGTTTGCCTCTGCCTGATCTAGTTCATACATATAGCTTGGCTATGGAGGGGGACTGCAACTCCTTTCTCCAAAGGTCTTGCATGATAGCTTCACATATAGGACCATATGCACATATGCATGGGGTCCCTGCTTCAGACATTGATTATGAATGGAGTTGAGAAAGCAGGACATACCTGCTCTTCCATCAAAAGATCCACAGCCCAGGTGAAAGCAGGAAGTGGGCATTAAACAATGTGGGTTGTATTCAAAGCAACGCTAAGTAGAATCGTTCTGTCAGCACAAGGATTCTTCTTGCACAATGGATCGTTTCCCCCCTCTCCACTTCCCTCATGCCCCCAACCCTCCAGAGCAGATTTGGGGGCAGGGTAGGATATATCCACGGAGAGGGGAGGGAGGAAGTCCTGCTCTTCACCCTCCACTCTCATCAAGCCCCCGCTGCTGGAGATGCAGGATGCAGAGATCTCTGTGCACACCACCCCCAAAGATTCTGTGCCCAGGGCCTTGACCCCCTGGCACCCCCCACGCTACACTACAGGTCCCATTTTGGTCCTGTTGGTAAAATACATGTATGCAATTTAAAGCCACAAAGCGTTACAATTTTGTATTTAATAAAATTATCTCTTCTAGGTGGTGCAGTGATGCTTCTGGTTTATGAATATGCTTCTCGGTGGCTTCAAGAAAACTGGTGATCAAAGACACAACTCCCAAGGCAGCAGATGGTTTAAAGCAATGGCTGTTAAAATATGTTTCAGTAATTGGAAGCAAATATAGAACAAATAATATGGATATGGAGCCAGTAACCCAATCCACCATTTTAGCCTGGGGCTTTCTATATGGATATTTTTATGAAGAAAAAGACATTTAGAACCTCAAGCAAGCCTGGCCTTCAAACACACTTTCAATGTAACATGTAGTGTGCCTTTAAATGAACTGATTTCCCCAGTTATTATGTTTATATCATTTTTCTGTGAGTTCTCCTTGAGGTAGGGCATTTAGGAAACTGGCTATCAATTTGTAACTTTTCATAGTGAAACGATTTGTATTTTTTCGTCAATAAATTTGGATTTTAACCCTGTTTCTTTCATTCTGCATGATATTTTGTGTGTTTGTGCGTGCAGTGGCGCACAGTGGCGGAGCTTCATGCTCCGGTGAAGTGAAGGACATGAGGCAGGAGTTGATAATGCAGGTGAGGTGCGCACAGGTGAGCTGCAAGCAAGCTGCCAGGCAGCTCTGTGGAGGCTCCTTTTATTGACACAATATGCAAACCCAGGCAGATACATTTTGGGCTGTGACCTTTACACATCTTCCAGTCCCGAGATCGTGGGGTGGTACAAAGTTATTTTGGCACCTGTTTCCACAGTGTCATTTTCCCCTTGCACAATGTATGATGAAGGAGACAAAGGTCTCAGAGACAAGGGTTACAGACAGGGCATCGCAGACTACTGAGACCGCAAAAGGTTGGACAGAGGGCAAGATGTTCAGACAGCTGTGGCCTTATCTGTTAGGGGGAGTGTGCTTCGCACCCCAAGGTCACGCGTGCAGGCAGCTGAGGCTGCCTGTGGGCAGGGAGTGTGCTCTACAAACCCAGCGATCATTCCTACACTCCGGCACCGGGGTGTGTGTGTGTGTGCAGAGAGCAGGCAGGGGCATGGCTGGTGCGTGTCCCGGGGGAGTGGCGCATATCCTGGGGGCATGGTGTGGAGCCCACTGGGGTTGCACTGCCAGGTGCGGTGTGCTCCCCCCACATCCCTCTTCCTCCGCCAGTGTTTCCAAAAACTGGTATTCAGAAGCATGGCTGCTCTTGTGCTTGAATCCTGCTTGCAGGTTTCCTACAGGCAACTGTTTGGTCACATGATGCTGGACTAGGTGGGCCAGTGGCCTGATCCAACACTCTCTTCTTATGTGCTCAGAAAAACTGACTCTTAAAAAACAAAATGTTTGAGAGTAAAAACTGACATGTGCCCTATACATTTTCTAGGATCCAGAACTCCAGCCACCCATATATATTGGTGTACTTCTTCCGAGTGGCTTTGCAAAACTCTGTCCCTAAGATTTCAAGCAAAAGGAATCTAGTATGGATTGCAGTATTTGTATTCTTTCTTTAAAATAAAAAAAGCACTGAAGTATAGAGGCATACACTACGCAGTAAAAGCAGAGGTGCCTTCTCAGCATTTAAAAAATACTTGTGCTGACATGAATATCAAAATATCTCTTTTGTCTGGATTTGACCACGTTGACTTCTTTGAAATGTGCTTCAGTAGGCAAAGTCAACAGAAAGGTAATTGGTTCTTTTTGTCTCATACCAAAGGCAAGTCTTTTGGGAGGGTCATTTTGTCATCAGTTATGCATTGGGTCTCTCCGGTGAAGGAATGAAAGATTTTAAAAAGGAAATTAGATCACCTCAGTTAATTCTTTTCTTTATTAATTTAGAGCATTCAAGATATAAAAATAAAAGGCTTTATACATACTTTATATACACACATAGCCTTCTGGTATACATTGTTTCCAACATGTTTTTAATTACATCTTCAGCCCAATCTTTAATTAAAAGCAAAACCTCCTCCAAATACATGTTTTTTTTAAATAGCTATGAAGTTCTGTTTTTTTGTCTACAACCCAACCTTTTTGCCAAATATGATCTCCAATTTTCATTTATAACGACAGCTTATTTCTACCACAGTGTAAAAATATAACACGTTGGTCTCAGTTGGGTGCTTTAGCAGTAAGTCCCATTGATTTCAATGGGATTTCCCCCAATCCAAATAATGTGTTCTGTGTGTGGAAAAACAGCTGATCCAAAGCCAACTGGAAGCAAGGGGGAAACCCATATTCAGCAACCACCAGCATAAATCGTGTACAAAAAGAATGATGGTGCAGTATCGGTAGTCCCTCTATCCTAAAAAGCAGATGTGAGAAGCTTCAGAGTTAAAATTCACAGATAAGAAGAGACTGCTGGATCAGGCCAATGGCCCATGTAGACCAGCATCCTGTTCTCATGGTGGCTGACCAAACACCTGTGGGAAGCATGCAATTTAGGCATGAGCACGAGAGCATCTTAAAGGTAAAGGTAAAGGGACCCCTAACCGTTAGGTCCAGTCGTGACTGACTCTGGGGTTGCGGCGCTCATCTTGCTTTATTGGCCGAGGGAGCCGGTGTACAGCTTCCGGGTCATGTGGCCAGCATGACTAAGCCGCTCCTGGCGAACCAGAGCAGCACACGGAAACACCGCTTACCTTCCCGCTGGAGTGGTACCTATTTATCTACTTGCACTTTGGCGTGCTTTCAAACTGCTAGGTTGGCAGGAGCAGGGACTGAGCAACGGGAGCTCACCCGTCACGGGGCATCTTGCCCACCTTCAATTTCCAGCAACTGGTACTCAGAGGCATCATGCAGGGAAAGGTACTCAGAGACATCATGCTGGCTGGTAGTCCCTGCCCTCCATCTAGTAATCCATGCTGCGAGAAGCTATTAGGCAAGATGGTAGTGGGCAGGAACAACAGGAACACTAGGCCTCCCTAATACCCATGCCTATCCCAAAGGCACTGTGTTTAATCCTTCCTGAGCTCTGCACCACAATTGCATTTTCAGAGTGGAAAATGATGTGGAAGACATTGCCTGTGAGGTGTCCCACGTCCTAGCTATCATTTCTGACCCTGATCCAGCGGTAGTTGGGGGGCAACTACTGACCCCTGGATACAGATGTTCATTCCTCCTTTGCGTCAGAGATGCTCTGAGGCAGTCAAACAGGGCTCAGGTGAGTGTTGCAGTGTAGCTGTACATCTAGATATTTATCTGTATCAGCAATGTGCACTAATATCTTGGGCTGAAACAGGGTGGGTGGGTGTGGATGTTAGTGCTTTAAAGACCCTGCAAGATTTTTTTGAGCAGAACTCATAAGTGTAGATTGCAAGTAAAGATGCTGCTATCAAGTCACATTGCTGTCTGTCTCTTGTACAGTTTCTTGAATTAAAGTCAGTGCTGTTTTTCTAGGGGGGAAAGGGTGCCAGAACTCACCAATGAGGGGTGCTGGAACTGAGTTCCAGTGAGTTCTGGCTGGGGGGGAAGCCCTTATTGAAGTGAATGTGTTTTGAGTCAGGACAAGAGGCCAATCCTAAGGCACTTGCTTGGAAATGCATTCCACTGAAGATAATGGGACTTCTTCCAAGGACTGTGTGAAGGATCAGGGTGAAAGCTTTTGCAGGTCTGGATCATAAGGAATTATTTGTGCAACTGTAATTAGTGTAGGCTTTTATAGAATAAAAATTGCTTTAAAAGGCTGAAGTCATTTCTTTTTCCCTTCCCCATTTTAGAGTAATTGGAAGATCAATACCTGAAACAATGTCAGTGGGACCTCTCTTATTTAAATCCTCTGCTCTGATAAATGGGTCCGAAATTCATATAAAAGAGAGCTCAGCTACATAATGTCATCTTGCACTTTGCCTCCTATGCATGTCTTACATGTTCTTAGACAAATGTAAATACTTTATAATAACATAAATGAAGAACTTTTAAAGAGCCAGAAAAAACCCCAACAGTACGTTGTTCAATGGGCTCCATTGACTGATTCCTGTACTTCGAACAGCATTATTTTCAACAACTAGCCTATTAATATCCTCCCACGTACAAACCAGCAGGTATAAAGTTATCAAGGTCTGACCTTCCCTTAAAGGATGAAGACTGTGTCAACAACCTGTGCCATTAATTCATATTTCCACAAGCATAATTGTTTAACTATTATTTAGAGACACTCATACTTCATGGGACATTCAGAAAAAAGATTATTTGTTCAGGAAAATAAAATGTTGACTACAAGCGCTTTGATATTTGTAATACATGCTTTTGTTAAAAAAACCAAAATGGTTTCACCTTGTTCCTTGCTATCCCCAGCTTTGCTGTGGTCATGCTAACATGTCACAGCTATGTAAAATGCTGCTCCCTATGAACTTGGATTCCACATGAACCCAAGCAAATTATTTACTTAATTTAAGATGGGATTGTTAATGTAGTGCCCCCCCAGTTGCAATCTTGGTGAGAGAGTCAACATCATTGATGCATGTGTGTAAATTTACTTGATTTAAGCATTGTATTATTCATTGCATAATCCTGGGTTTTTGTTTTTTTTAAAAGCACAACAACTTCACCTTTCTTTTTTAAAAAAAGAATTAAAATTAAATAGAGACAAGGAGAGTAGAGGCAAGGAGAAACTGTCACACTGTATACAAATAGGCTTCTTTCTTTTTCCTAGTATTTTTCTTCCTCTTCACAAAATAGGATTTTTCATAGAATCGATATGAGCTGTGTGAAAGATGGGGGAGGGGGGCGATCTCAGGATTAGTGTGTTTAACTTCTAGACTCTGATCCACATGGTGAAGAAATGGATACCCAGGCAAGTGCTTTTTGCACTGTTTTCAACAAAAAGGATTCTGTGAAATTAGGCTTACATGCCTAGGGTAAGGTTACCAGATTTTTTTCAATGAATCCGGGGACACTATTCAACTTCCTACTAAATAGATGGATTTTGTCAGGGGACTGATTTGTAAATCCGGGGACTGTTCCCGGGAAATGAGGACGTCTGGTAACCTTAGCCTAGGGTGCAATGTGGGCGTGTTTATTATATCTGCTCTTCTTCCAGCTGCAGGTGTGCAGGGATGACAGGTGCTGCCCTCCCCTGCCGGCTGCTCCTGCAGCCCCATTTTAGTCTTTAGCAGCACAATCCTATACAGGATTACAGTCATACCTCGGGTTAAAGACGCTTCAGCCTGAGCGTTTTCAGGTTGTGTTCCGCGGCGACCCGGAAGTAACGGAATGGGTTACTTCTGGGTTTCACCGCTCATGCATGTGCAGACACTCAACATGACATCACGCACATGCGCAGAAGCGGCGAATCACGACCCGCAGATGCGGTTTGCGTTCTGCTCAGGATGCAAAAGGGGCTCCAGAACGGATCCCGTTCGCATCCAGAGGTACCACTGTATTCAGAAGTAAGATTTACTGTATTCATTATGATTTATACACAAGTAAACGTGCATATGCCTGTTGTTTTTGTCCATGAAGTTTTCTTGGCAGGGATACTGGAGTGGCTTGCCGGTTCCTGCTCCAGGTGGATCACGTTTAGTCAAAACTCTCCACTGTGACCTGTCCACCTTGGGTAGCCCTGCACGGCATAGCTCATAGCTTCTTTTGAATTATGGTGCTGGAGGAGACTCTTGAGCAGGGGTCGGCAACGTGCGGCCCATGGGCCAGATGCGGCCCACAAAGACCGTTTTACTGGCCCACAAGCCGCCCGCAAACCAAGCCACCCACTCGGCAAGTCCCCCCCCCCCACTGCGCTAAAGCAGTGCGGCGACTTGCTGAGTGGCACCGGAAATGGCTTCTGCACATGCGCAGATACCAGAAATGGCGTCTGCGCGTGTCCAGATGCCGAAAATCACTTTGGCATCTGGGCATGTGCAGGCACGATTTTCGGCACCGCTGACATGCGCAGATGTGATTTTCGGCATCACACTGCACCAGTCCGGCCCACGGACAATCTCCGTGGGAGTGATCCAGCCCACGGCCGGTAAAGCTTGCCGACCCCTGTTCTTGAGAGTCCCATAGACTGCAAGAAGATCAAACCTATCCATTCTTAAGGAAATCAGCCCTGAGTGCTCACTGGAAGGACAGATTGTGAAGCTGAGGCTCCAATACTTTGGCCACCTCATGAGAAGAGAAGACTCCCTGGAAAAGACCCCGATGTTGGGGAAAATGGAGGGCACAAGGAGAAGGGGAAGACAGAGGACAAGATGGTTGGACAGTGTTCTCAAAGCTACAAACATGAGTCTGACCAAACTGCGGGAGGCAGTGGAAGACAGGAGTGCCTGGCGTGCTCTGGTCCATGGGGTCACGAAGAGTTGGACATGACTAAACAACAAACGTGCATAAGATTGCAATCCAAATCACTTATTCCTGAGTATTTGGGCAAGATCCTGTGTCACACAAGCAGGCTTCCACTTCTACAGCTGGACTTCTCCTTCCTCTCCTACCCCCACACCTCACATGGTTATCTGGATGTTCAGGAGACCCTCTGAAGCAGATTTGGGGGCACTGGGGAGTTGAGAAACTGGAGGTCCCATCACGCAAGCAGACTTCCCTTGTGCCAACTGGCAGACATTCTTGGATGTCATCCTTTGTTTTGAAATATTCATACGCTGCCTTTTTGAGTGAAACTCATTCAAGGTGGCTTGAGAGAGCCCAGATCAACAGAGCTGTTCTGCTGGCTGCACTAAGATTGTAGCCAAAATGAATACTGACCCATGATCCAAGGGTAACACACACACAGCGCATCAAACACAACAACCGCACACCCTTCATTCATTTCAAGCAGACTTGCAGTTAGTTCCTGGTCAGTCAGTTCTGTTGTGTGCCAGAAGAAAATTGTGACCCGGAGACTGTTTGCTCAAGCTGATTATATCTCACCAATATTCTCAATTCAACATTTGACTAAATGATTGCAGTAGGAAAATGTTTTGGAAAGTTTCCCAGGAAGTATCGGCATGACATCACATATTATTTTCTTTGCAGTGCCTTAGAAATCTACCTTTGTTGGCATTTTGAAACAAAAGCATGAAATTCTCATAAAAGAGACAGGATCTTATCTTGCTGTTTCAGCAGTATATGTAGCATGGCTAGGAAGAAACGGAGATAATTTTATTAAAGAAGTCTTTCAAAATCTGTATTGAATGATGTGTCTTTACATTATTGCACTAGACTTACAAAAATACATAATATATTAATATTTTATAATGCGAGGAAATATCATGTCAATTTTCAAATCGTTCCTTTTCATGGTTAATCTTCAGCACGCATCTGCAAGCTCGAGGAGGCTTTCCGAAACTATATTCACAACTTTATTATTGTCCAAGGAAAACAGGCCATCTTGAAAAGATTATACTGTTAAGGGGAAAGAGTAAAAGAGAGCAATTGGGATCCAAAAGGCCGTGAAATGATGCTTGATAAAGAATACAGAAATGCAAAAATGGAATTTTGTTAACATTATAAATAATATCTGTAGTACCGCCACCAATATGCCTATGAATGAAACATGCTTATGTACAACATTGTAAACTTTACCGAAAGTCTTTCCTTTTTTTACATTCAATAAAGCACGAATTTAAGACAACTTTTCTCATTTTCCTTTTTTAAAATGACAACAAAGTTTTGGGCTGGAATTGCTGAACACAGGTAAGCTGACAATTTACAGTACAGTTTTCTTTCACAGTGGTTAACATGGGGCATAACTCACCCACCTCCTGCACAAGCACCCATTGAAATGAATGGGAGGTGCACTAGTACTCTACCATGCTTGGGCAGGAGAACATCGTGGTGGATTGTGCCCTTGGCTTATTTAAAAAAAATATCTGCACAAAATTTCACATTAAATGCAAGCTCCCATTCTGTTCAGGTCCTTCCCATCCATGAATCTTTATATTAGAGTGATGATACCATGATTTCAGAAGATTGGGTACCATATGGAGGAATTTTCTCAGCCGTAATCCAGAGAACATAAGTCACACTCAAGTGCTATTGTAATCAGTGGGTTGGATCCAGAGTCTGTGTGAGCAGAACACAGAACAATTCTGCTGGATGGGGAGGGGGGGCATTTTTGCTAATTTCCCCCATGGCCCTTGAAAGGTCACTACAGAGGGTTGCAGAGACCCTCTGAAACAGTGTGAGATGCTGTAGGGGAGAGGAAATTGGAGAAAATTACTTTCCCCTCTCGTTGTACAGCAGACCTTTTTTGGATCTTAATCTCTTCTGCAAATGGAAAGTGCAGAATGGACACTCTGAAACCAACCCACAGGGATTTGAGGGGGTCACGTTAAGTTCTCTGCTGTAGAAACAAAAATGCTTTTCATGAGATGCAGGTGTCTCCACCCTGTGCCCAAAATATACTCAAAACAACTGTCAAAATTTGGATCGTTTAAGGTAAAGGCCATTGTTAAGAAACGAAAACAACACATGGCTAGGATGTCGCCTTTCAGGCAACAAAAAGAAAACAGAAATGAGTCGAGTAGTGGGAACGCAAATTATGACCAAGGTCCTTATTTACAGATAGAAAACAAAAGTTAAATTGCCTTTGTAATCACAATAAAATACAGGATAAATAACAGAGCCATGTATTCATTTACTTTTCTTGTTTGTTACTAGAAGAAGTCAACTGTCTGTTCACCAAAACTCTTATCCACTTGTCCATACAATTTATTTATTTATTTTGCGGAAAAAAGAACGATTGAGCGATCCAGAAGAGAACTTCTGGTTTTGGTCGCCTTTCTTAGTTAGGATCGTAGCATTATCTACTGGTTTTCCTTGACTGGGTTTTCACAAATCTGAAACAATTGCACATTTGAGACACTCCTGTTGCTTAGAATAAATATGTGTGGTTTCACCAATGAATAGCCCTCTGAGGGTTGTAAGGTCTTCTCGATGCAAAACAGTGCAAGGGGCAGCAATACATTTATCACTTTCTTAGGTTATTTACACTTACTGAACCCCAAGGATGATGATGATGATTATTATTATTATTACTAATGAAGGGAAAAATATTTCAAATGTCAGCAGCCCCATAAGGTTCATCTGTGAGAAGGAATTACAGGGAAAGTGACTGGGCTGGGCTGGCTTCAAATTGTTCTGCCCTGTTTCTGATATCAGAGTGCAGAGGCTGTGACAGAGTGACTACCTTCTCTGGCTGTCTGCATACCCTTGAAAGCCAGCGACGCAGGGATGTCACAGTTGTGGGGCGATAGCGGAGTGCCTCCAGCATGCTGCCAGCCATGGCCAGCTACGTAACCAGAAGGAGCGGCACTATATGCCATGTACGGAGAGACTTGCGCTGCCGTGGGATAAGGCGCCATTGTTGGTGCAGAGACAAAACTTCCAACAGTGGGGAGACAACTTGGTGCCTGAAAGAGAGGAGAGGAAATAATAACAATTACTGAAAAAGAATAAACACATGGATTTTAAAAAACGGGGGCAGCCCTGCCATTAGGCAGAGTGAGGCAATGGCCTCAGGCGGCAGACTTGAGGTGTCATGAAAAGACAGGTAATTGTTAAGCTATTAAATGGTTGTATTATATTTTTACTGCTTAGAACGGGGAGAGGCACTAGTGGGATTCTCTGCCTCAGGTCCCAGGTACTTTGAGTGAGAGGTTTGTGGGGAGGGGAAACATTTCTACTGTTTTTCCTCATGAAGCAGAATGCCCTGGACCAGCTCTTAGTTTTTTAAATTATCAACTAACATCATAATGTTGGCTTCAGAGGTGCCACTTCAACTTTCCAGGATGTGGTGAACAGCCAGACTTAAAAATCCAATGGCTTTTAGGTACATCTTTACAGTGTAAATACTATCTTGTTTCTTTCACCTCATAACAACTACTGCAAGCTTCTTAATGCTGCAAAATTACTTCCAAAAATATAAGTGGTACACTTGTTGTGTTTTTGAGTGGGCTATGCTGTTTACTGTTGCTGGGCTTGTTTCTATTTCATTTACTTGGAGGATGGTTTAATCCAATTGACATCTTTTAAGTTTTGATTTTAACCATACCTACTGGGGAACCCTGTTGAACGAAAATCCTTCATTAACTAGAAAGCATATTTGATCTGTAGAAAATGCAACTTGAAAAAAGAGACATTGCACATAACTTTTGTAAACCAAGAAATCTTTAATATATATTCTTTTTTTAAAAAAAAATGGTGCCCCATATATATCTAATTCAAAATATAACAATAAACTGTAAAATAAAATTATAGTATTCAATAAGAAAAAAAGAAAGGATATTTGATTTTACAGTGCCTTCTGCTTTCTAGCTTGCTTTCAAAACACACACCAAAGCAAAAGGCATTCATATAATCACTTGGTGAAACACCCTAAGATGATGTTTACATACTTTCTTGAACAGGGACTACCAAATTTACATCCGATTGCTGTGCTCATTGAAGTTCTCTTGCACAAGCCACACTGGAATTAAAGTAAGCGGCGCAGGAGCACTGCCAAGCCCATTTCTATGGAATTCTTGCTGGAGAACGTTCTGGTGGAACCTCCCCCCAAAAAACAACAACAACAACAACACTGATCATTAAATCCAGCCCTTGTATTTTAAGGCTTCATTCCTGGAGAAATAAAGTATTAAAAAACACAGACAAAAAAGAACAAATCTCTCTCTCTCTCTCTCTCTCTCTCTCTCTGTGTGTGTGTGTGTGTGTGTGTGTGTGATCTTGTCTTGAGGACAGGAGGCATTCTGTCATTTAAAGAACAAACTTCTTTTATTTAAGTAAAGTGTCATTCACTGTGAATTCCTACAGAGACAGAGTTGCCTCTCCCTTCTTTATACAAACAGACACCTGGACCACCAGCTTGCACAAACACCCATGGAGAGCAGTTAACAACTTCAGGCCCAATCCTGCTATCATTCTACTGAGGAGAGACAGCAGACATTTTAAAATTCCAAATTTATGGGAATTTAAAGAACGAAATCCACAGCTTGGGCAATCTACAGTTGCAGGTCATCAGGCACTGCTCTGACACCAAGTCACTGTAAAAACAGCAAAGAGTATTGGGTTGCCTTAAAAGCTAGCGATGCCACAATATTCTCTACCGTTTTTGTTGCAACCGATTAATACAACTAGCGACCCCTCTGGAAACCATTAGAATCCTCTGTAATTTAACTGAATAGAGAGAAGTGTGTAAATATTTTGTTTAACATGTTTGTATTGTATCCTTTCTTCAAGGATTTCAGGGTGGCTTATGTGAGGTTATCTCATTCTCTCCTTAGAGGTGTCTCTGCAGATAAACTTAACAGCGGCGTAGCGTGGGTTGTCAGCACCCGGGGCAAGGCAAGTAATTTGCGCCCCCTAACCCGGGGCAAGGCAAGTAATTTGTGCCCCCTAACCCCTAACCTGCCGCCGCTGCCAGCTTCTTCTTGCTGCTGCCTGGTCTGGTCTGGTGTGGTTCTCTCCCACGCTCAGCGCTGCGCTGGGCGGCCGCTGCACTGTCCCTCCCCCAGATAGTCCCTCGCTCTCTCTCCGCACCGCACGCCTGGCACCCACACCCTCCACAGTGGGCGGCGACCCAGCGGCTCGGATTGGATTCGCACAGCCAGCACTGCAGTGAGAGAGAGTGAGTGAGCCAGGTAGGGGCAGAGAGCTGCGAGTGCGAGCGCCCCCCCCCCCAGATGTTGCGCCCAGTGCGGCCGGCCCCCCCTGCACCCCCCACGCTACACCACTGAAACTTAATCCTCATTTACTCCTTGTCCGGACCCTTTTGGGCTCTGGTGCAATTCAGTGGGAGGGGTGAAGGGCTGCTGCGATTTCACAAATTGTCACAGTAGAACTGCACGTGGTGGCAGTTCAATGGATGTGAACCATATCATAAGCCCAGTCCTTGCCCCCAAAAGGGTGATGGACGCAAAACCATCTGAATTGGGACACCGATTTGAACTTTGATTTCCCCCCTGCAAGTCCTCTCTCTAACCACCACACTGGATCTTATTGGTGTCTTCTAGAGATCCAGAAGGAGATACTCTCTTAAAACAGGATACTTCCATCCCAAGTACACTTTTTTTTCCCTTTTAAACACCTGAATGCCAAAATCAGTTTGCCATGTGGCATATATGGATATATGGCATAACAGGGTGTTGGAATGAGGCTTGGGGGAGCAATTCAAATCCCCACTCAGCCAGGAGGTGCACTGGTGTCCTTGGGGCTGTCACTGTCTCTTGGCCTAACCTACCGCACAGGCTTGTTGTGAGGATAAAAATGAAGAAGGGGAAAGCCATGTATACCACCTTGAGTTCTTTGGAATTTTTTAAAGTGATAGTTAAAATTTATTTACCACACATGTCCCATTACACTGTACCCTATTAAATAATAAAAGGTCCCTCTACTGTTATGTTACTACCCCTGTGAACAATGACATTATATATATATATATATCTAGACTCCCAAGCAAAACATCTCTACTGAAGTTATTAATATGAAAGCAAGAGAGACCATTTTAAAAACAAAGCCAAAATCTACATTCCAACCAACATAGATCATTTGAAAGACAAATGCAGGGAACTGAAAATCTGATTCAAATGTCACTTTTCAAAAAGGCCTATGCTTGCGCAGAAGGAAGTTCTACTGATTTCAGTAGGCCTTAAACTCAGGCAAATATGGGCTAGAGTTCCAGGCATGTTGCTGGGACTAGTTTGAAATTTAGGCTGCCTGGGTTAACGGTGGAATTGACACCCATTTGTTAATCTGGCATTTCTGACAAGAACTACATTCACTTGAAGTTGAACTGGAGGGGATTAAATTCCAAGGCCCAGCAAATATTGGGCCAATAATTCAATGGAAGGAAATGAACACCAAAATACAAAATCAGGAGTTGGGAGAACCCCGCGGTGTTTATGGGCTTGTAAGGTACTTCGAAGTCTTTACTTAAGTGCTGGGTTTTGAGAAACATTTTTTTAGTTCTGTAAATATTACTCACATAATCGAAGCCATTGTTTATGAAAGGAAATTTAATTATTTAAGAAGTGCTTCTAGCTGAATGTAACCTATGTTCTTTTCCCTTTTTGCTCCGCTCCCCCCACCCTTTTGCCTCCTCTTTAAGGGGCAAAATCCACAGGGGAGATGTTTTGGATTGTTTCAATGGCTCAGAATTAACGTTTTGCAAGAGTCAAAGAGAACTGGAACTTCAGAAGATCTAATGCTAACCCCCTTGCCTTTTTGATGCTTTATATATTTAGCAAAATGCATTTTTACAATTTTGCTGTGGCTGATGTAGAATATATGGTGCAAAAGGCCTGCATCAGGAGTTACCCCTCAATTACATAGCTGTCAACTTTTCCCTTTTTTTAAGGGAAATCCCCTTATTCCAAATAGGATTCCTCACAAGAAAAGGGAAAAGTTGACAGCTATGCAATTATACTAAATTAATCTGTGTCACTCGGTGTATGGAATCAAAGAGTTAAAACAGGTTCAGATGCACAGTTGTGCTTATCAGTGTTGTGCTAAAGAAGCTGAAGGGACTGCTAAACATCTGACATAATAAAAGCCTTTCTGGACCCCATGATCTGCAGTGTGCATCTGGCTCAGGATAGCATCTATTGTCCTTGTCCTCAGGTTGTGCGTGTTTAGTCTATTGCAGAAGTGGCCAATGTGTTGGCCTCCAGATGTTGCTTGACTACAGTTCCTACTATCCCTGACCTATAGCCATGCTGATTGGGGTTGATGGGGACTGTAATACAACATCTGGGAGACACCATTTTGGCTACCTTACGTCTATTGTCTAAACACACCTTTGGCACCTGCATCGGTGGCACCATCTTGGGTTGAAAGGGTGGATATTTTTGGATGGTTGGTCGAAATGGGATGCTCAAAGGTCACATGAAAGAATGTGACAAGTTATAAGAGTAAATAGGTAAAGAAATTCATATAGGATCCAGGAATAGACAAGTAGCCAGTGTAAGGATTTAAGGAAGGGTGTCACATGGTCAGAGCAATGACAGAAGTGAATAATTTGGGTGGCAGAAGGTGTAAGAACTGTATGCATATTGCCTTGGCCCCATTCACACAGATAAGCCTACACACTGACAATCTGAATGTGTGTAGGGCCTGTTCAGACAGTACACTTAGCATGAGTAGGTTGGGGTGCACATTGAGTCTACATGTCATCTCAACCAAAAAGGGTTGTAATGTCTCAACATACATACATGATACTCTTTTATACACAAGACTAAGGAAGCTTTATCAAAGCTGGTCTATGGTTCATTATGAAACCAATCCATTTGGGTGGAGGAAGGGGGTCATATCTGTTTTTGCAGCAAAGTGCTGGTCGGGAAAAGCTTCTCAGACCAACCACCAGCCTGCATTGAGAAACCACTTCAGCCTGTAGTAGCATATAGCTGGAAACAGGACAGATTCCAGCTGAGCTTAGTGTTGATTCACGCAACCTATCCAGTGGGCATCAGACTTGAGAAAAGCCCTTCTCAGTCTGACTTGGAAGCATTTCAGCCAGTGCTGAGCCACTCTTGGCCTGTCACTGTGTGGTGGAGATACACAAGAAGCTGCTTTATACCAGATCAGACTATTTGTCTATCTAAACCAACATTGTCTATTCTGAAAGTAGCTCTGTCCAGAGTGTTAGGTCTGGAGACTGTCCTTTTAAACCTTCAGCTCAGTCCTTCTAACTAGAGATGCCCTTCTTCATGCAAAAGATGCACTCTGCCACTGAGCAATGGTTCCTCCTGAATACTGAGAGACACACCTGCCTTAACAAGGAAAGTCCAGCAATAAGTATAGTTCAATCATTTTTTAAAAAAATCAAAAACTGAATACAATGGTACCTCGGGTTACATACGCTTCAGGTTACATACGCTTCAGGTTACAGACTCCGCTAACCCAGAAATATTACCTTGGGTTAAGAACTTTGCTTCAGGATGAGAACAGAAATTGTGCTCTGGCGGCATGGCAGCAGTGGGAGGCCCCATTAGCTAAAGTGGTGCTTCAGGTTAAGAACAGTTTCAGGTTAAGTACGGACCTCCAGAACAAATTAAGTACTTAACCTGAGTTACCACTGTAGTAAACATATAAGAATGATAACTAAAAGTGATCACACTAGACATTGCCCTCAAGTACAGAGAGGCCACCATAAGATTATCACCATTAAACAGCAAACAGCTAAAAACCATACACCGAGTGAGCAAGAGACAGAGATCACCATCCAAATGGTTGGGGTGTACACAAAAATTCTTAGCTCAGTAACAGAAAGATGTTAGACTTGGGGCCAGACACACAGCCCTGGGGAAAGCATTCCAAAGACGAGGAGCCACTGCAAAAAAGAAGGCCCTTTCTCATGTAACCACCCTTGGACCTCTCTTGATGGTGGTACCAAGAGAAGGCAACCCAAAGACAAACAGAGGATCTGAGGAGGTTCATATGAGGAAAGGCACTCCATAAGAATCATCTAAAGCTTTATAGGTTAAAAGCAGCACTCTGACTTTGGCCCTGAAAACGACCCAATTCCAGTGGCTGATGGGCCAGCATGATCACACTTCCTGGTCCCGGTTACAAGTCTGACTACCAAACCTTGCACAGTTTTCAAAGGCAGCCCCATATTTAACACAATATAGTAGTCTAGGTACAAAATTACCAGAGCATAGTCAACTGAAGTCAATCTATCTCCATCCAGACAGTGGGGCCAGCACCAAAGCTTGTAGAAAGTGTTCTGTGTCCCAGAAGCTACCCAGGCTTCCAATGACAGTGATGGATCCTGAAGCAGTCCCTAAAACTATGAACCTGCCTTGAGAATTATTATACCAGAAGTTGAGCTAAATTTCTTAAAATCAATCCATCATTAGCTCCTAGATCTCTAGGCATGGCTTAGCCTCTGCACCATCACGCTCAGACTGCAAGATGCAGCAAATTTCAAAATGGATTGCATCAAGGCACAGTTATTCCTTAACCATGTGCTACGGAAAGAAATATGAAAACATGATTGTGTAAATAAAAAAGATTTCAGCGTTTGACAGCTGTTCTTTCATCACCCTTCTCTTTCAGGGCATTATCATTCCTCTGCAAACAGATTAATTCCCCCACTACCCATTTGAAAGCTGCAGCTCAGCAGAATATAAAGATGTGTGTCCAACAGACTAAACCTCACGTTTGCGAAATAGCTGTTAAAACTGTATGTTTGCATAACCAAGGGACATGGCAGTGCTGCTTCCACCCCCCTCTCCCCCCCCTTTGTTCTTTCTGACAGAATGAAGCAATGACCTTAAATTCTGTATAAACATATTTCTTGGAAATAACCCCCCATGTGTTCTCCAAAGATTGTACTTCTGAGTGTGGACTGGGATGCCAGTCATATATGAGTAATATTAAAAGGGTAATATAACGGGAAGAGGGTGTAAGCCAAGGGCAATACGCAGGATGTGAACATACTACATCACTCCTCTATTGGACAGTAAAGATGATTTATATAATCAAATCATTTTATGCAATCCCAAGAGAAGACTTGACCATTTGCCCAAATACAACTTAATCAGCAACTTAATTCCATCAGCGGTGGAATTCTTATTCACCGACGTGGAATTTAGTGTGCATTAACACTACAGTGGTACCTCGGTTTACTAACTTAATCCGTTCCTGAAGTCCATTCTTAAACTGAGGCTCACTTTCCCTAATGAGGCCTCCCACCACCAGTGCCCATCCACTGTTCAGATTCTGTTCTTAGACCAAGGTAAAGTTCGCAAACCAGGACACTATTTCCGGTTTTGCGGAGTTCATAAACCAAAACATTCTTAAACAGGACTGTTCTTAAACCAAGGTACCACTGTACAGTGGTACCTCAGGTTAAGTACTTAATTCATTCCGCAGGTCTGATCTTAACCTGAAACTGTTCTTAACCTAAAGCACCACTTTAGCTAATGGGGCCTCCTGCTGCCGCTGCGCTGTCACTGCACAATTTCTGTTCTCATCCTGAAGCAAAGTTCTTAACCCGAGATACTATTTCTGGGTTAGCACAGTCTGTAACCTGAAGCGTATGTAACCTGAAGTGTATGTAACCCGAGGTACCACTGTACTGTCTTTTTTTAGAATATAATATATTTTATACACACACACACACCACATCTTTTTTTAAAAAAATCAATCAGCCCTGCGCACAGTTCTCCAGAAGCAAGATTTCAAAACTGAACTTCCAAATAAATAGCACCAGTGTGCTAGAATGGCATCTATATTCCTTGCCCACTGTTAATTCTACAGTGGCAAAGAGCACAAACATTTATCTGAACAATGAGTCAACTAGCTGAGAACCTTTCCAGAGGAAATGTTATTTTATTTGCCTAAGAACCGGCAAAAAAGAATAAGGAGAGTATCTAGAACAGCAGTGGGCAACATGTGCTGTTCCAGATGCTGCTGGAATCAGTTCCAGGCAGTGGGGACAATGCCCACGGATAATGGAAGGTGTAATCCAGAAACATCTAGAGCGCCCCAAATTTCCCATCCCTTGGAGTAGTATGAAAATGACAACATTCAGAGGGACAGAGAAACTTGACCTTCATATGCTAAAATTTCTAATAAAAAGCACATCCGAATGTTATACAAAGTTTCATATGGACAGCCAGAAATGCTTTGGGACAAAACTAGAACAAAAAAATAGTTTTTAGGGTTTTCCAATTTATATTTTGTACACGTGTAGCAGGTACCCAATTCCACCAACAGAGATTTACAGCAGTCCTAAATTTTGCCAAATGTTAAACAAGGCAGCTACCACAAATAAGGAAATTTGTAGGCAACATACTTGTTGTGACCATTCAACAGATGGCAAATTTTGCCCCAGAGGAAATCCTGGGCAGGATAAAAGCTGGTGAGGAAATATCTGATAGTTTGAGAGAGGCTTAAGTTCACATGGTTGACACACATTTTTATTTCGCCCCACTGCCAAATCTGGTTGAACAGGTTTTTCAGGCTTTTAAACAATTCAATATAATACAATACAAAAAAGCCCGTCAACATTTCTGCTTACTGTTAAGATCTGTGGCCACCAATCAGTCAACCAGCTTCTCTAGCATATTGGAAATTAAAACCTGTTTACCAGAGATGAAAGTGGGAGGAACAATTCCTTCTTTAAACCATCATCAATTCTCTGAAAGAAAATTATTGTTTGTCTCCAGATTCAGCAACTTTTTTTGAGGAATGGGAAGAATATAAGGAGCAGTAAAGGACGTACAGCTATGTGCTGGCTATCATTTCAATATCACAGATACAAAAAGCCTTTGCTCAGAAGGGGATTATTATTTTTGTTTATGAAAGGCTGACACAGAGAGCAAAGCCAACAAAGGTCCTTTTTAGAATTCCCATTTTTCAGAGCATGTAAGTAGCATCTCCAAACTACGGTCTGCCTTAACATAAAACCCACACTGAAGGAAAATCCGGTTCCTAAACCATACCTGAAATCCTGGATTGGATTATGACTTTAGCAGCACATGGATCAAGAAAGCTCAGAAAAAGACACACACAAAAACCAAAGTGACTGATCAGCATAATAGAGATCCATAGAGACCAATTGGCATGATTTTTTACCCATTCTGGGATCCTTAAAAGTGATGAAAGACTGGATATAAATCAAAATAAATGATAAAATTGCTTTCAAGAACCATACAGAAGGGTAACTACTGCAGCAACAAATAGTTCAAGCTGTCATTTATCAGCCAATCTGAAATTATCCATCCATTGCAAATTAAGCCAATAATAAATCAATATCTTTACTTTTAGTAAAACCTAGGTCCCAGTAAGTGTCTTTGAGATTGGTGATAATTAATTAGATATTGTTTCTCTGCCCCAAGATTTGCTATACCCGCCTACACCCAAACATAGGTGTTAGTCAGCATTCCATAAGGGTATACAGTGGTACCTCAGGTTACATATACTTCAGGTTACAGACTCCGCTAACCCAGAAATAGTGCTTCAGGTTAAGAACTTTGCTTCAGGATGAGAACAGAAATCGTGCTCCGGCGGCGTGGCAGCAGCAAGAGGCCCCATTAGCTAAAGTGGTGCTTCAGGTTAAGAACAGTTTCAGGTTAAGTACGGACCTCTGGAACGAATTAAGTACTTAACCTGAGGTACCACTGTATTAGCTAACACAGTGTAGTCTCAAAACATTAAGATGTTACACTGGCATTGCAGAGGCATCACAAACCGCTAAAGCAAATTATTTAGGTTTGGAGATGGGGAACCCACAGAGAAGAGTAATGTTTTGTTGTCAGTACCATCGCTCCATTCATAATATACTGCATAATTATTAGGTTATCACGTTTCAAATAAATCTGCCGTTAGAAACAGAAACCATAAAATGTGACTGACTCTGCACCAACAATTACTCACTTGCAAAAATATTGTGCAAACAGTAGGATACAACAAGAAGAAGTGAGAAGTGGTTTCTTAGAGAGTCAGTCAATGAAAATCAAACCACAGTCTCTATTGGAAACAGGTTGGGATGGGGAAAGTTACAGGAGAAAGGGCTTATAAATTTCGAACCCCACTGGGAAACTGGGGCTAAATATTTTCAGATATTGTCTGCTGAAAGTAGAACACAGATGGATTTCATAGTGGAGACAGCACCACAACGAGAAGCTGGCAGCACTGTGGGAAGGGAGCAAAAATAGCCTACCAGCTGGGAGAGAAAAGCAAGTCAGATCTTGGCAAGTATTTAAATATGCAGTCAATGGAAAGGCTGGTCCAAGCAAAGAAGGCCTGATGGCTTGTTCTTCCCTCCATCCCCCCACCCAGTAAGAAACATGCAGTCTCATGCCGATTTAGATTCTGATAGTGAGAGCCATAGCGGGCACCAGCGGGTGGTAAGACAGCACTGCATACCCATGGCAATACAAATCTGACTTATTAAACAGGGTGGCAAAATATGCAGGAATGAAGGAGACATGTGGTTCCATTCATTTCTGATTTTAATACGAGCCTACCTAATTTGTACTTTCCGAAACAATATGCAAACTGAAATGTAGGTATCCTTTGAAACTCACACATCCCAGAATTCTGTGATGCTGTTCGCCAAAGATGGTCAGTCTCCTCTTCATTGCAATCGCCGTGAACTCTTGGATACCTCAAGGACTGCCGCTCTCCATATGACCCTATCCAGACCCTGAGATCATCCTCTGAGGTCCTGCTTCATGTGTCTCCTCTACGGGAGGTCTAGAGGGTAGCAACACGAGAACGGGCCTTTTCTGCAGTGGTTCCTCATTTGTGGAATGCTCTCGCTGGGGGGGGGGGGTTGACTGGCGACAGACAAAAATGTTCCTCTTTGAAGGTAAAGGTAAAGGGACCCCTGACCATTAGATCCAGTCGTGACCGACTCTGGGGTTGCGGCGCTCATCTCACTTTATTGGCCGAGGGAGCCGGTGTACAGCTTCCGAGTCATGTGGCCAGCATGACTAAGCTGCTTCTGGTGAACTAGAGCAGCACACGGAAACGCTGTTTACCTTCCCGCCGGAGCGGTACCTGTTTATCTACTTGCACTTTGACGTGCTTTCGAACTGCTAGTTGGCAGGAGCAGGGACCGAGCAACTGGAGCTCACCTCGTCGTGGGGATTCGAACCAGAGTCAGTTTCCCTAACAGCCCAGCAAGGTATTCAGGTGACTCTTTTAAACCAGTGGCTCCACTGGGTAGGGTGAATGCACACAACCATTTACCAACTGGGTTCCACCATAGGCTGCATGCAACATCATACTAAGCAGGTCGTATGAGCCCCCACAGACAACAGAATTGTACTGACTCGGTGAGCCTTCTCACCGCAGAGTAACTTGGCCTTCTGTATCACTTAGTCAACTGGAACAGAGTATTTTTGCATACATTGGGGCACCAGTGGCATAGTGTGGGAGGCATGGGGACCGTGGCCCCAGGCACATTTTTTTGAGGAGGCGCAACCAGGTGCCCCCACAACAGGCTCCCTCGTTGGAGTCTGGCTCTGGTACACAAGGGAGCTGCAGAGGCAGCTTCCTTGCACGATGGCCCAACGCTGCTGGGCACAGAGCAGTCAGTCAGGAAGAAGGAGGTCTCACAAGGGTTCACTGCAGCTCACCTGGGAAGGAATCAGGTGTATGAGGTAGGAACAACTCACACCCTTTCATGTATATCATGCAATGACATGGATGACTTTACATGAAAACGTGGATGATATTCTAATCAAGGTAAATTAATAGCTTGGGAACAAAACATATTTGGGAGGTTCCTCCTCCTCCTCCTCCTCATCATCATGGACCTCCAGATGTCCTCAGGTCCATCAATTATGCCTTGCCTGCCATCATCCACTCAAGAATTTTGACACTGAACAAAATAATTCCACTCATCCCAAGTAGCTACACATGCACAAGCAATCATATGAATAAGTATGAATAGAACGGATAAAGAAAACAGAGACGACGAGACTTCCGGGTTGGCGCCTCTGGCAATGGCGGATTTCCTCCAATCGGGAGGAATCCGCTCCGTGGAAAAAAGGGTCTGAACCACCACGGCGAGGCGGAGACCCATAAAAAACCACAGGCGGGAGAAGCCTGTGGACGTGGGATTCGGCTGGCACCTTTGCGCCACCCTACTCGTGGGGAACCCCGGTTTTGGGGATCCGGAGCGATGTGGGGTGAGTGGCGCGGTGCCTTGAATCGACTGTTTCTTTCACGGAGTGAAGCCGCATTGCTGTTGCCGGAGAGCGCTGACTTTTTCCTGTGGACAATTGGATCTTAAATAACTGTCCGTGAGTAGAACGGAAAATTGGATTAAGAAATTTCTTTTAATTTGGCACTGAAGCGGGAAGGTCTAAACAGGAAGTCCGCCTTTCCGCTTTTGTAGATAGATTAAAGCAAAGACACGGCAAGCTAGAGTTTAGAAAGTCGTCTGTAAAGGATCAATTTTCATCATTTAAAATTACTGAACCCCCCTTGGAAGCAGGAGAAGAGGGGGGAACTTTTTCTGGACTGTTTAAACCTGCAGAAGAGAGAGTAAAGAAAAGCAATTTTCCACCGTCTTGAACCTGGGAGCGGGGTGTCAGGACAGATGTCCTTGGGAAGTTCATTGACTATAGACAAACGTTTTTGACAGATAGTTAAAAGAAGAGAAACATATTGATTCCATTGTTCCCCTTCGCATCTAAAAGGAACAAAATATTGACAAAATATCTGAAAAAGGAAACTTTGTTGTTAGATCTGCTTTTTTTAAAAAAAGAAGAAGAAGAAGAAGAAGAGATGGATATAAATAGAAGCTTTTTCCCCTAGAGGGAGCTTGCGAAACTGTGATTAAATTTGAACTGGGGAGCTTTGCAGCTGCAATAGATTAAGATCGTGGGATCAGACTTTGACCTTGCACAAGAATGTACTCGGAGGCTCTGGTGCTTGCCTTCTGCAAGACAAGTGCTCTATTGGAATAGCTACATGAGAAGACGGATTTGATGACTGTTGCGATTGGAAATTTTGGACAGGCAGTGGGTATCTATATAGAACCCACTCAGGAATTAATCCAGGAGTGTGCTCTGACAGATCAGATGAGGGAGGAGGTTGTTGCTGGACCTCGGGAGGCAGAGATGGAGGGAACTGTGGCCCAGCAGGAACATGTGTTGTTGGATCTGACGAATGTACCTGGAAAAAGCCAGATTTGGAGAGATAGAGTCTTGTTTGGTTTGGAGATGGGGGGCTGGATAGACCCCCCTATGCAGGGATGTTTTGACCTTTCAAGTCTGGCTTTGGGCCGGGAGGAGTTCAGAGTTGTGGGGGCCCTTAACTTTGGAGGGACCTTGAAACATGCTTTTAAATACCACATGGAATACAGTGTTGACTATGGAAAAGGGGCTGATCTGTCGAGAAGAGACAAAAATATCATCAAGCTGGAGTCTCCACGAATGAAAGGAGCAGAAGACAAAGTAAAGTACAGGTATAAATATGAAGAAGACCTGCGGAAGGGACATGGAAGAGATTTAAGGGCCTCGGACATAAGGTTACCGGGTTGATGAACTAGATGGATGGGATAGAAAGGACTGACAAAACCCGAGACCAGGAGGAAGAGACGTAGGAAGAAGATTGGAAGAAAGTTTTAAAAAATTTATTTAGGAAAATTTTTGTAAAATTAATGAGTATTAGAAAAATGTTGGAACGAAATTATTTGTCTTTAGCAGAAATATTAAAAAGAATTATGTAAGAATATGTTATGGTTATGAGAAATTGGTATAAATAAGATTTAAGTTTTAAGTTTTAAGGTTTTTTATGGTAAGATAAGGTTAAAATAGATCAAGGTAATTTAATGACAGAATATTATGAAAGATGGAAAGGATTTGCTGAGATAATTAACAACTAGAATACAAAAAAGGGAGGTGTGAGGAGGTCGATGAAATAAGGTAATGATAGTTAAGGATTTGAGAATACTGGATCTGTTTTTAAAAATTTTTTGTTTATTTTTGCTTTTTGATTTTGATGTATTATGTGCTTTGCTTTTGCTTTTTGATTTTGAATTGTTATTTGTTTTTTCCTTCTTTTTTCTCTTTGTTTTTTTTGTAATCTTAAAATTTTCAATAAATATTATTTTTTAAAAAAAGAAAAGAAAACAGAGACGGACTGAAAGGAAAGGGCTTCCAACATTTCCCTAAGTCTTGAGAGAATGGGCCTGAGAACAAACAAATTCCATAAGAGGGTGCCATAACTGAAGAGGTCCTGCCACTTGCACTCACCAGTCTTGCCTCTGAAGGCCAGGTACTCAGAGAAGGGTCTCTCCTGATGACCTGAGTGCATAGGGGGAGGAAAGGTTACATATAGGAGAAGGCAATTCCACTATGTCCATATTCAAGGAAATTTATTCCCTAGGAGGGGATTCCCAAGTTCAATGTGAATGCTGATGAGAGAATTTCATAAGCATTTAGATTACCATATTCCTGAGGTAGCAAATGTGATGTCCTCCATATATTGTTGGACTACAACTCCCATCATCCCCAACTATTGGCCAGTCTGGCTGGGGCTGATGGGAGTTGCAGTCCAACAATATGTGGGGTGGGGGGGACCATGTTGGCTAACCCTGGCATATTCCACCTGCAACAGTGGGTTCAGTTTAACTTCAGTGAACTTGCAAAGCCCGATCAAGTTGCAGCCTGACCAATTTTAAAACATCCACAAAAAGTTACCCATGTTTAAGGGGTGTGCATGTAGGTATAAAATTCTACTCTAAAGTTGTGTGATTCTAAACAGGCTTAGGATGGTATTTAACTAAGTTTCACTCAGAGAAGACCCACTGAAATTATTTAACATGATTCTATGGGAGGAATTCCATGTTCAGCTAAGGCGATTGCTCAGTGAGGGCAAGCATCTTGACTTGCAAAATGGAACAATCCTCTCTTTCCTTCCCCCATGCACTGTTCTGGGGTGGGAGGAGCATGTGAGTGGGTGGATGAGTGGAAGCCCCATTGCACAAGCAGAGGTCCTTGCACAGGGCTTCCACTGACAGGACCTGTTAGTTGAATTCTGCCCAAAGGTCTATTCCAGGGTTTCCCAAACTTGGGTCTCCAGCTGTTTTTGGAGTACAACTCCCATCCTCCCTAGCTAGCAGGACCAGTGACCAGGGATGATGGAGACCGTAGTCCAAAAACAGCTGGAGACTCAAGATAGGGAAAACTTAGTTGAATACCACCCATATTTCTCAAGCCTTACGGGGAGTGAATTTCAACTGGACACGTTACATATCTCCCCCATTCCTCTCACTGTCAAAGTGCATAGTGTAAGTTATTTGAGGCAGAGACTTTCCTCTCAGCTTTTAAAAAAATAACCTTGGGTTACTCTGTAAAGTTCCTTTGTCGTATAAACAAAACAGTAATTATAAAATATATGATTGGGATATGAGTAAGGAAGAGCTTGAATAAGTTCTCTACCACATCCATTTCTGAAGCTACCACATGTAAGACTCAAGGCATTTTTAGCCTGCAATATGCAGCTGGGGGAAAGAGATGTTCTCCACTACTGCACCACTTAAAGGTTCAGGAAGGTGATCCAGCTTACAGCCTAGAAACATGCAAGGCATGAAACTATGGTCAAGCATAACGCTTTCTTCTCCTTATAACTACTGCTTCTTCTTTCTGGGCAGATCAACCTGCCTGTAAGCCAGCCAGCAAGCAGAGAGAGAGAGAGAGAGAGAGAGAGAGAGAAAGAAAGAAAGAAAGAAAGAAAGAAAGAGGAGAACAAGCATGCTTTTCTTGACCATCTATGCCAGCATTGCATTCTTACAGTGGCCAGCCTGATGTTCATGGCCAGTTCCCCAACAGGACATTATTTGTTGTTGTTGTTGTTTAGTCGTTTAGTCGTGCTCGACTCTTCGTGACCCCATGGACCAGAATCATAGAATTGGAAGGGACCCTATGGACCATCTAGTCTAATCCCCTCAGTTCAGGAATATGCATCCATACATGGGATCAACCCATGACCTTGGCATTATAAGCACCACACTCTAACCAACAGAGCTAACCAACAAGGCATAAGCACAAGAGAAAATCTCCTGGGGTGTGGGGTCTACAGCAGGGCCTTCAGGAGCTGAACGGAGTCTGTTACTGCATAAACACACAGTACATTCTCTGTTTGATGGTAGGCTTATCACCAGCTGTCAACTATTCCATTCCTATTTTCAGAAGCAACCTGCTTCTGAAGACCAGTCAATGAGAGCAAAAAGTATGGGAAGGCTATGGTATGGATTTACCCAAAACGTCTATCTTCCTGGTTGGGAACAGAATGCAGGAGTATATGAGCTTTTTGATCCAGCCAGGCAGAGCTCTCCTTAGGTTCTTAAGCACAGCCTGTCCACAGAATATGAGAAATACAGAGGAACGAGTTCCACACACTGAAAGTATCTGTAGACAGAACCATCTTATAAATATACCGAGCAGCATGAGTTTTCAAAGACATTCACTTGCGAATTAAAGAATCACAAAAAACCAAACACAGAGACTTTCATCATCAAGCTACTAGCCAGGGAAATGTTATATATAACTCAGACAAAAATCCTTTGTAATCATCCCACTAAAATGCAGTGACTAAATGCAGTGTGTGTGTCTGTGTGTGCGCACGTGCACGCGCTTTCCACTGGTGACAACTTCACTGACCTATGGCAGTGGCATAAATGTGAAGGGTATTCAAGTGGTGAATCTGTCCCACTAACTTCAGGTTGGCCTATATTCTATGGAGGCAATTACAAAACCACCACTTCCTGAACAGAATCTGAGTAATCAGGTTTCATTCAGGAAACTGTGGAGATTAGGAAAACGGCATTCAGCCCTTAACCCACAGGCAAAACACGTATTTGACTATAGGAAGGGGGGGGGGGTTGGAATGCCTGTGACTTCTCTATATCACATTATCTGCTCTGTTCATTGAAAGGGCAGGATATAAACTAATTAAATAAATAAATAATCAATCAGTCTTAGTTACATATGTATAAAAGGTCCAGATATGCAACCAAATATCACTGGTGAGCAAAGAATACTGCATACTCCCCCCCTTTTTTTCTTTCCTCATGTAAACACAGACAAGTTGTTTTCTATTTTCATGGAGCGTAACAACCAAAGCTGCAACCGATTCAAATTTTTTATCAGAATGATTGCTTGCTTTTCAACTGGCTAATAAGTTAATCAATTTATTACATCTACATATTGACGAAATTAAGTTCTAGTATAGAAGCATTGTTTTGTTCTTAGATACTGAACCAGGTAAGAGACAACTGCAAAAGGTATCAAGCACAATAACATACAAAAAGCATACCTTTGGCATTTATTTTGCCCTATTTGCCTACTGCAGTATGTAAATTAGATGAAAAAATCAACAAGCACACCCCTAACTCTCAGGCCCACCAATTTAAACCTTGTTAGAATTTGCATTTGCCAAATGTCCAGCTAAAGTTGGTTTTAGTAGGTTAGTCTACTGCTTAAACTCTTTGGGACTTCTAGCCTTACTAAGTGACACAAAATTAGCACCATTCAACTGTTTATGAATGTCTGATACAAATAGTCTCTTGCATCTGATGAAGTGCACTCTGGCCCACGAGAGCTTACATTTGTTAGCTACTAAGGTGCCTTGAAATCTTGTTGTTTCACTATTCTCTTATTGTTGATATGAAGAGATGAGGATTGTTAAACACAGTCCCTCGTGCATCTAAACAGTTAACATCACTATTAACTCTTTCCTGAAAGAGATTAATGAAACCGGGGGGAAGGAGAGAAAGGGGAGACCTATATTCAGCCACCTGTGGCATTCCCATTACCCCTGACCATTGGGCCAGGCAGCGGGGACTGATGGGAGTTGAAGTCCAACAACAGCATCTGGAGAGCCAAAGGTTCCCCATCTATTCCCCAGCAATTCTACTACATCATTAGGTAACTGTTCTACGTGCTTAGAATCATACGCTGCAATTACGCTAGTAGGATTGCAAGAAATTTTGTAAGGAGGATTATGCGAAATATTGCAGAGAAAACTATGATAAGAATTATTAGTGAAGGAGTATTAAATGTAATACTGAAAATAATGAAATGCAGATTAAGTGATAAAGACTGAAAAATCTTCAGATGCAGTTGATGGAAGTCCAAAACATTGTTTAAGATAAGAAAGTATGTTATATGATTTTTAGAAATCATTTGTAAAAATCAATAAAAATATTTTTTTAAAAAATAGTATTGTACACTGCATATACACCATGCAGTTAAAGCAATTCCCCAGAAGCCTGGGAACGACAGTCTGCTAAAGGTGCTGGGAAATAAAGCTCTATGAGGAGCAAAATACAATTCCTATTATTTTTCTGGGGTGGCAGAGATAGAGATGTGCTTCAAATGTATGGAATGTTGGAAGGGACCTCAAAGGCCATCCAATTCAATGCCCTTCTAATGCAGAAAACCCACTACTCTTGCCCCCTCAATTCCAGTCATTCTTACTACAGCACTATAGATAGTCCCTGCCCCCCTAATATTATAAGGAGTGGGCCAGAGACAGCAGACACCTAGGGATGGAATTAAGGCTGTCTTGACGCATAATTTATAGGAGGAATTCAACACCATGCTCTTCTGGTCGTTCCATCAGCACAAGCATTTCTGTTTGCTAGATGGAATAATATCCCTCTATTCCCCTCTGTGCTATTCTAGGGGCTGTTTCCAACACACCTAAAGCAGATTTGGGGAAGCGAGAAGGGGCCACTCAGGAGGAAGCCCTGTTGCACTTGCTAGAGTCTTTGTGCTGGCTTCCTTAGTTGAATCTAGGCCTATTTTCGCTACATTCCAGACCAGCACCAATTAGTCCCCAACCTGACCCTATATTACAGAATACAGGCTTCTGATATGCGCAGGTCCCTTGCAGTAGCAAGACGGGGATTACTTCCAGGATCACACACATTTTGCACCAGCAGGTTTTTCTACTGCCAAAGAAAGGAGGGGCGGAAAAAAAATATTTATTTGAGAAACTCCATCTTTCCTCATTAAATAATAACAACAACAACAACATTTGTAATTCATCTTATTCCAAGGACCTCAAGGTGGTTTACATAGTTCTCCTCCCCATTTTTTTACCTCACAACAACCCTGAGAGGCTGAGAGTAAGTAACTGGCCCATGGTCACCCAGTGAGCTTCATGGCTGAGTGTGGATTTGAACTCTGGTCTCCCAAGTCATAGTCTGACACTCTAACCACTACACTACAGTGGCTTACAGTACTTGCTGTGCTCACTGTAAAGGTAAAGTCATGGATGACTCTGGGATTGCAGCACTCATCTCGCTTTACTGGCCGAGGGAGCCGACGTTTGTTCATAGACAGTTTTTCCGGGTCATGTGGCCAGCATGACTAAGCCGCTTCCAGCGAACCAGAGCAGTGCACGGAAAAGCCATTTGCCTTCCTGCCGGAGCAGTACCTATTTATCTACTTGCACTTTGACGTTCGAACTGCTAGGTTGGCAGGAGCTGGGACCGAACAATGGGAGCTCACCCCATCACGGGGATTCGAACCGCCGGCCTTCTGATCGGCAAGCCCTAGGCTCTGTGGTTTAGACCACAGTGCCACCTGCGTCCCTTTGTGCTCACTGTGCTTATCACTAAATCCACAGAACAGGAAGCAGTTACATCCCAGGGGAGATAAAGGCAAATGAAAGTGCACCTGGTCACATGTATGCGGATTTTACTCAAAGGAACACAACAAGGCTGCAGTTGGTTCCCAGTTCCTTATTCAACCCAAGAGCTGCATGAGCATGACCTGGACAAGGAACTGAAGTTTACACACCTCTGCAGTCCAACATAAACTTTGAGCAACCAGAAATCACATATGCCTATGTAAACACCAAAGGAACAAAAATTCAAAATGAAATCTGTCCTGTGCTGTAACAACTCTGCTGGTGTTAGAAATTGTGTAAGACCTGGGCAGGGGAATCCTCTTTCACAACTTCTTTGGAAATGCTGGGTTGTGTGTATGCCAGGGTGTGACCAGCTCCTTTGGCATGAGGGTGACTTCTGAGGGCCATGTGCCAGTGGTCAGTGGGGTGAGAGAAAAACAGTGGATGCAGTAACAAACATACCTGTTACCCTTGTGCAGTAAGTTAGTTTCTACACTCATGCATGCACTCCAGCCAAACAAAACTACTCAAGAAGAGGGCAAAGCAGGGGCAATGAGGGGTGTGGCTGGGGAGTGGGTGTAGCCTAGGGAGAGTGCCATAGGTGGGGCAGAAAGGCTTGGAGAGCTGTATCTGGCCCTGGGCCTGAGGTTCCCCACACCTGGCTTCTATGCTAATTCTACAAGCCTCTGGACAGAGATGGGTAAGCTGGGGTGTTGAGTATTAAAGGACTGCATATATATAATAGGAATAATAATAACCCAGTGGAATGGAGAGAACCAGTGAGACATTCTCACTGGTTCAGAATACAAACTCTATAGGAAGGACAGGTTAGGGCATAAAAGGTTGGTGTCCTTCTGTGTGTCAAAGGGGGAACAGACCGAAAATCCCAAAAGGGAAAGACACCTTCACAGCATTGCTGTGGGTGGCAAGACAGGTCCCAAAGTAATGATGTACTTGGAATGTACCTAAATGCCCAGGGTGATCTCAAGATGGAGAATGCTACCAAGAAGGCCTCTAAAGGAGGAAGTGTTATAGTAATGGGAAGGATGGATACGTGCATATTATGGTCTCCACTAAGAACTAAAATGTCAAGATACACTAAATGACTATGCTGCAGAACAGATGGTCATAGAACCTAAAAAAGGTGAGGCAATCCTGGATTGAAACTTAAGTGGTGCCCAGGACCTGGTGGGAGATGGAAGTGTTGTCAAACTTACTGGAAACAGTGGCCACAGTAATCTCAAATTCAGTATTTACATATGTGGACAATTGTCAAGGAAGTCCGACATAGGCACATTTGACTTCAAGAGAGGAAACTCCTTGAAAGTTGAAATGGAAAGTCAAGAAGGTCAAATCTCCCAAGAATGCAGGCAGGGGTTATTCAAAACTGCAATAACAGAAGCCAACTTTGAATGTACAGTATGTTGCAGATTAGGAAACAAAGCATCAAGGACAATAGGAAAGATACCACGAAGGATGTGAGCATGGTTAATGAGAGATGTATAGAATTAGGCACGGTGTGGAAAACATGAAAAGAGAGAAGGTTTTATCCCCCTCTCATAGTGCCAGAACCCAGAGTCACAACATCATGAGAGAGGTGTTTCCAGCTACCCTACACTTTGCCTTTGGAAGCCTTGCAAGTTGCTGCAGGAGAGGGACTGTAAGCGACATGATGGGAGGGGAGTTTCTAGGACCAAGGTGACACAGTCAAGCTCCCTGGTTATTTTTGCTAGTGGATATTAGATGTTGATGCAATCTCATTGTATTTATGGTACGGGGTTTTTTGCATGCTTTTATATGCAGGCAGGTAGCTGTGTTGGTCTGCCGTAGTCGAAACAAAATAAAATTCCTTCCAGTAGCACCTTAGAAACCAATTAAGTTTGTTATGGGTATGAGCTTTCGTGTGCACTGGTATCTGAAGAAGTGTGCATGCATATGAAAGCTCATACCAATAACAAACTTAATTGGTCTCTAAGGTGCTACTGGAAGGAATTTTTGTATTATGTTTTTATATGTTATTGTATTGCTGTTATGCAAGTATTATGCTATTATGAAATTGCTTTTCACTATTTGATTTTGAATTTATTCCTGTTTTGTAAGCTGCTTTGGGTATGATTTTTGTGGGGGAGACATACAAATAAAATTATGAATGAATGAATGAATGAGAGCTACCCAATAAAGCTGATTGTTGAAATTCAGGGCATACTAAAAGAAGTACTTCTTCATACAGCACATAGTATTTGCTACCACAATATGTGCCTTCCAAGTTTGGATAGTTTTAAAAGGGGACCATACAAATTCATGGAGAAAAGGGCTATCAATGATAACTGGTCATGATGGTTGAATACTTCAGTGTCAGAGACTGCATGTCTCTAAATAATCATAAGGATCTGGCTGTCCACTGTGAAAATAAGTTACTGGGCTTAGACGGGCCTTTGATCTGATCCAGCCGAGCTCTTCTTACTTTCTTAAATAAATCAATTATCAATCAGCTGAACTGATTCCTCAAAATGTGGTGCATTTATAGTACACAAAAATATATTGGGGAAGGGTGCTATTTGTGTTCAAGTGGATGTGCCCACAAGTCAGGGTAATCAATGTGCAAAAAGAAGCATCCACAGGCAGAACATCGTTTTGGATGAAGAATGATAAATATGCATGGAAATAGAATACCTGGAGCAGCATCGACACATGGGTCACTGCACTGGGAGCAACCAACTAATCTGAGGATGAAGAAATAAAAGACTTGGAGAAAGAATGAATAAAGGTTCACGATATATAAAAGGTAAAGGGACCCCTGACCATTAGGTCCAGTCATGACCGACTCTGGGGTTGCGGAGCTCATCTCGCTTTATCGGCCGAGGGAGCCGGTGTACAGCTTCCGGGTCATGTGGCTGGCATGACTAAGCCGCTTCTGGCGAACCAGGGCAGCGCACGGAAACACCGTTTACCTTCCCGCCAGAGCGGTACCTATTTATCTACTTGCACTTTGACGTGCTTTCAAACTGCTAGGTTGGCAAGAGCTGGGACCGAGCAACGGGAGCTCACCCCGTCACAGGGATTTGATCTGCCGACCTTCTGAACGGCAAGTCCTAGGCTCTGTGGTTTAACCCACAGCGCCACCCACATCACGATATATCTTGCACCACAATCCTAAGGAGGTCCATTGGGCCACATGGTGGGATATACTGTAAGTATATTACAAAGCCTGTTTGGAGGTTCTAGCAGGGGAGTGCAGCTATCGTGTATCCTTGACCAAAGAGTGGTACACACCTTCTACCTGGGATGGCCATCCTCTCAAATGCACAGCTTCAGGAGGGACACACATGAAGCTTTGAGGGAGGAAGCGGACACCCTCCTAGCCAGCCAAATCAATCCTGGCAATCAATGGGGTGACAGATGTCACAGCCAGATCACACCACAATTCTAAAGAGGTCCATTGGGTCATATGGTGGGATAGAAATACATTACAAAGCTAATATCCAAGGTTATGCCATGGTCCTAAGGGCACTCTGGGGCCTATTCACATGACCAGTGCATGTAGCTTTTCTGTGGTCATCTCCACTAGTCCCCATTCAAAGGTGACATTTAAATCCTGTTAATTCCACTAAGAAAATGAAGTAGGCGCTTAACAGGATTAAGCAAGTTGACTCAGAAATAGGTATTACCAAGTTCAATGGGGCTTGGTCCCCAGTAAGGGTGCTGATTGTCTCCGCTTATCTAGGAATAAACCTCATTGGACACCGTGGGACTTCTGAGTGAATGTGTGGGATAGAGCTGTATGCCTTTCCTGTTCAAAACCAACACGACTTCAGGATGCTCACTGAAAGGTGCCCAGAGACAGTAGCACAATACTGTATTCAGTTTGCTTGTAATGGACCAGGGCAGGAAAGGAATAGTTTGCTAAGAGAAGACAGAGCTCCTCCCCCCTTCAGTTCCAAGAAAGCAGGCAACTTATTACAAACCAAGTAAAACCTAAAAATTAAAGCCAGGGACTCTTGGTCTGGCAGATCATTAATTGAAAGCCTAGCTCAGTACTTCCACGCTGGAATGGCACAACCTCGGAAGCACTTCCGAATAAAGCAAGCCTCCCCTCCAGCCCCTCTCCAACAAGTGACAAGTAATAACATTAATATTAATAATAAATTTATTATTATCTATACCCGGCCCATCTGGCTGGGTTTCCCCAGCCACTCTGGGTGGTTTCCAAAACATATAACACATATAATCAGGTTTACTCTGGATTGGAACAGGACAAACAGTGCAATCCTATGATCTTGTGTATGTCTACTGAGAAGTCCTATTGAATTCATTGGGCCTAACTCCTAGTTTGCTTAGTTTGCCCAATGAAATCAATGGGGCAAGTTGGATCCTGGCTTTACTAGAAGGCATGGGCTTGGCCAGTGGGGGGCAGAGAGGGAAAGCTGACCCCCCAAATCAATAAAAATAAATGCATAGTTAAGAGGTTCTGGCCCTCTAACAAAAGGCCTGCCCCCCCAAAAAAAAATCCTGTCTACGCTCATGCTAGAAGGCAGCTTGTTTTGGCTTTCATCCGGAACCGTAATCCAGATGGCTGCGTGTTCCAGTTTGAAAACGTTTCTCTCTTTATTGGAAGTTAAAAAATGATTCTGCTGAGTAAGTATATTGGAACTCAACTGGAATATGGCACAGGGAGGAAAAGAAAGCCAGTAAACCCTAGTCACACTTACCTCGGAATAAGCCCCACTGGATTCAGAAGGGCTTACTTGGAAGTAGGCATGGCTTGGCCTGCCCTCCTACTAACTACCTCAGCACCAGGGAAGGGCATTGAGAGCTCAGCCTGCGATTCCTACCCCTCCTCCAATCCCCCCCCCCCCGCCAGCCCTTCTTCCAGGCAACCGGCGCTCACGTTTTACCTGGCTGTACTTGGCCTCGGGCTCCATGGAGCTCTTGTCCAGCCCGTTCACCGCGACGTGCTGCGCTGTGGCCGCGAAGCCGCTTCTGCTCAGGCTGCTCCATTCTTCCACCTTGGGGCTGTGATAGGGCGAGCTGTCGCTTACTGCGGGCAAAGACAGGGCAAAGGAGCGTCAGCGAGGGACGCCGGCCTCGGATCGGGGCTCCCGGGAAAGGAGACTCGTGCGCAAGGGAGGGCCGGGTGCAAGGGGTATAGCCAGGGAGGGACAGGGGGGCAGCAGCTGTCCCCCACCCCACAATCGAGAAATTGTAGAAAGATTTTGACACATATATTATTATTTTTAGCGCTTGGGGTCAAAAGAAATTTAAAACAACTGTGGCTGAGACATTTCATTCCGAACCTGCTAGACAGAGCCAGTCAGAGGATGATGACAGGTGGGTGTCCTCCCGTCCTCCCCCAATAAATCCTGGCTACGCCCATGGCCGGCTGCGGTTTGCATCTCCACCAGAGACTCGGGGCCCAGCTCCTTCCTCCCCCCCCCCCGTGAAAACTCTCTTCTACTTGCACCTCGTTAGCCAAGGTCTCCCGGGGCAAGGGAAAGGGCGACTGACCCTCGTGCCTGACCGCACTGACTCGGAAGCAAGTCCCCATCGCCTCTCCATGGAATCATGGAACTGTAGAGCTGGAAGGGATTCCCCGAGTCATCTAGTCCAGCCCGCTGCAAGGCAGGAATATGCAGGTGATCCCTAATGGAACTTGTTGCTAAGTTGGTGCATCAAGGGAGCGGCAATTCTGGCTCCCTGTTCCTCATGGATGCTAAACTCCTTTTTTTTTTTTTTGCAATCAACGGGGCTTGGAAACCTCCTTCCTAATGGAGGCGGGCTGGGGGTTTCCGTGCCATTTGTTCCCAGATCTTCATTTCCCCCAGCCTGAAACCGTTTCTCCCCCCACCCCTCCTTGGGAGGAAAAGTCGTGAAACTAATCAAATTTGCTTGAAATCGTTCAAATCAGTGGTATTTGTTTCTATTTAATGCGCCTAGGATTTAAGGTTTCGGGTAGTCGGAAATCAGCCGTCTCGATTACAACGGCTCTTCTAGCCCCGTGGGCAGCCCGAGCCTAAAAATGTTTACTTTGAAGTAAATCCCATGACGTTTCATTCCCAACTAAAAGGGTTTAGGGTTGCAGCAGCCCTGCAGCCAGGATCCCACGCAGGTTGACTCGGAAGCGAGTCCCACCGAATCCAGCGAGGCTTACTCGGGAGTAAGTTTGCCGAGGCGACACTAGTATACCGCCTCCGCTGGGTTTATATGGTTTCCACTACGGTAGTTCCCAGGCGCTGGATCTCGCTCAAGCCTGGAACGTGGTTTTGAGGACTGCGGTGCCATCGCAACCGACGGGACCCACATCCCAGAGCAAATCTGCTCCAACGGAGGCCTCCTGTTTAAATCAAGGGATCCACCCTATTAAGGTTTAGTAAAGCAGGCGTTAGATCGCTTCTCTCACCACCATCCAACATGAACATTACCAAAGAAATAAATGGAAAAAGGGGAATGAAAATGAAAGCAACAGGAGGCCCCGACTTGGGAAAACGTGGGACCTCTCTTCGCATCGCAAGCTTCTGGTGGCATCTCAGTCGGTATCTGCCAGGCTTTGCCCATCAACAACCAGCGAACGCTATTTCAAGCCGTGGTTTTAACGCAGGCTCATAATGCGCCGCGCACACCCCACCCGTCCCAGAGTCTTCTTATTTTCCGAGGGTCTCGTTCCTTCTCTCCCTCCCCCGCAGTTAAAGTATATTCGGGGTGCGGGGGCGGCAGGCCGAGAGGAGTCCCTTGGTGCAAACCCAACGTCCCTCCTCCTGGCTCCTTGATTTCAAGAGACGGTGGACCGCCAGCTGACCTGGCGAGGAAGAGGCTTCTGAAATTGTTAAGCAACAGCGCAAACTCGGGATCACTTAACGGAGGCTATTTATTGCCTTCGCTGTGAAGAGATCCTGGTTTTGCACGCGTAAAGTACAACCACGAGTGGTTCGAGGAAGTGGCTGCAGACGTGGACACGCTCGCCTGAGAGTAAGTCCCATTGGACTCAATGGCGCTTACTTCTAAGGAGACACGCATGCAACTGAAGCCAGCCCATCTGCTCCCTGCCTAGTGCGTTTCCACAGCCTGCAAGCTGGAAACTTTTGCTCCTTCTTTTAAAGTTCAAGTAACTGAAACCCCAATCCTACGGTCCGATAAACAGCTATTTATAAGTACTTATTTCTGAATAAACGTATAAAGGAGCAGGATGCAGATGTCTCCCAGTAGGACTCACTGCCGAGGAATATGTTTCCTCGGAAGTAAGCCCCTCTGTGGTCAAGCGCGCTTACTCGCCAGCGAACGTGTTTACGATTTCAGCTTTACCATGTTAGAAAGGAGAGAGCTCTGAGCTCCCACAAACCAACACTGAAAAACCTGTCTGCCTTCCTTTCCTGGAGATCGCAGTTAATGTCCCTGACACAGAGAAGCTGCGATCCTAATAATATTCTGAACCACAAACAAGTTCCAGCGAAATCAAAGTAACACGGATATTCAGCTGAGCATAGGGGTATATTAAGTTTAAAGGGGTGGGGTAATTTTAGCTCGTAAAAGGGTATTTGCTGTGGCTGCTTCTTTTTTAAAAATAAAAATAAATCTACGTTAATACTTCTAGAGGGAAATTTGACTGTAGTTTGACTACAGTCTGTGTTTGACTATAGTTGTGCAAATATTAGATGCGCTAGATACATAGATACAAACACACGAATCAAAGTCTCCTCCAAACTTTTTCAGCCTGTATGGGTCTACCAAAGGAGAAAGCCATGCAAATGACCAGTAGCTTTGTCCACCGGGAAGCTAAGCTTAACTTCATACTTCACACACAAACTAATTCTAATTTAATTAATCGCAAAAGGACAAACCACCACGAACACCTGCAGAATTAATGAATTGTGTTAAATTTCCGCTTAACCTGATGGAAGGTCTTTCCTCCTAACACTTTGTCTTGTGACTTGTGATTTGGGTCGCCTTGTTATGTCCCTGTCCAGCACCCGTACAATTTTGTTTGCCTTTTAAGTCCCATCCTAAACGCGTTTCTAGCCACTGAGTTTCCAATTCATAATTCATAAAAAAGAGAAAAAGAAAAAAGCTACCTAGTTTTGGACTTCCCCAGCCTCAAAGACCACCACTTAGGACAGGGCGAACTAGAAGTGGCCATTCATTCCAGTCACTCACTTCCATGAATAAACGGTAATCGATAATAGGCAATATATTTAATGTCAGAGAATTTGGGGGGGGGGGTGTTACAGGGCAGTATGGCGTCATTTTAGCACATATTCTGGTTTCACGCCTGAATCCACTTCCTCCAGAGTACCCCAATTGTATTTACTGGCTCCAGGGGTGGATTGAAGCCTTACAGTGACATCCCATACCTGTCTATTAAGAGGTAAATGTCATTGAGTTCGAGACTGGGTTGAATTTACAACGTTCAAATAAGGAACGGAAATGCATTAGGAGCGTTCCAAATAATCGGATTCCAATCTTGTTCTGCGCAAAGTTTAAGCGCCCTTGAATTAACAAGTGTTTACTTCCAAGTAGACGTATTTAAGGTACATGTGGACGGGCAGATCTGACTTTCCATTCCACCTTCCACACTGTTTTCAACGAACCCCACCCCCCAAACTCCAGCGCCCAGTTATTCCATCCTAACACAAAGGAAGGAAATTATTTGGGCCTAACTGGATTAAGAAAAACTCCGCAGTTGTTGAAAGTCACCCATCATCCTCTCTTGCTGACAGCCCCTGCGTAGTGATAAGTATCTTTGACATAATTATTTTCAAGGTCGATTTGATGGAATAGTGTCACGTTTTACGGCAGGAGATGCGTAATGAAAACTAACTCGCAAATTACTACGGAAGGGTTTTTTGTTTTTTATTTGTTTGAAATATTTAGCTTGCAACCTATATCCTGTTACGATTGCAGGAGGCAAACCCCACTGAGCTCCATAGGACTTACTTCAGAGTCGACGGGTACAGGATTGCACTATTCGAAAGCTGCGCGGTTGCAACCAGAAAACTGAATGTTTGCGTGTCTCTGTCCTAAACCTGCATCAATATTAGAGCCTGCTTCCAGATGTGACTGTGATCCCCGCCTATTTTGCCATGAAGCAAGTGCCTTTGAAATCCATGGGGCCAGCTGACTTCCTTCCAAGCAAAAACCCGTAAGGATTTAGGGGTGAGAACACTTCGATCCTAAGATAGGACTGATTGGGGACTGAAATCCCATAGATTTCAACCGAATCTTAATTCGAAGCCATCAGGGAAAGCTGACAAACGCAGCGAGCCTTCGATGGGATCCACAAGCCGGTTAAGCCAGGGCATTTAGGGTGCAAACAGAACCACTTAAACGCAAACACTTGGGGTTTTTATTTTATGAACTCCTGCCATCAACATGCTGTTGGAAACTCGGTGGATGCCCTAAAGGGCGAAGGAAATGCTACGGGTGCTCGGCAGGGACATAGAGGAGGCCCTCGCAACAAGGACGGGGGGGCCCTCCTCTCCGGGACGAAAGAGGGGAGCCCCCCAGCCGCTGGTTTCTTCCCTTCCTAGCGCTGGCGCACGTCGAAAGTTGTCTTAAGAAAGCGAGCTGTCTCTCCGCGAGCTCCCTGTTCTGCTGATCTCTCACTTTCCCATGAATAGGGGCTTCCTTTCCGTGTCAGCAAGGTCAGCTTATCCTATAAATCAAGGGCAAAGCGCCCTCAGATGCAGCTCCGCAAACCGGAGCGGGGAAGAGGAAGGGGAGGGAGCGGAGGAGGCCAGGAGACGGGATGGAAAAGCCTCCTTGTCATTCAGATCCCACCCGCTTGCCCGGCTCCCTAGGTAGGAGGCCTTGGCCGCTATGGCTCTAAGAAAAGGAGGAAATACACGCCAATTCGCGTATCGCTCTCGTGCAGCAACTTCTCTTTCCCCAACACTCACCCACAGGGGCACAATTAGCATTTGCAAATCTTCCCCCCTCCCTGGAAAATGATATTGTAATTTTTAAGGACTGGCAGCATTTATTTTCCTGCAGAAATTCCAACTGGAATCTTAAAAGTGAGCTAGGAAAAGTTAGAACCTAATGTTTAGCTAATATTATTATTATTATTTCTGCCCTCAGCATGCAAAGCAGTGTGAATTTTTTTTTTAAAAAAAAACAACAACCCTGAATATTTTATTAACATAGTTTTTTAACTATTTTTTTGCCAAATCATACAGCAGCCATAATCTAAATAATAGTGTTTAGTGATAAAAATAGGTAGAATTGTTGAGGGGGGAGTTAGACTATTGAGAGGAGTTGACTAGATTTACAGACACTTTTTGGGGGGGGGACTTGGCCCCATTAAAACCTATGAGACCCCCTAGTGAGATTGTTTGTGTAGCATCACATTTTGAGATGGTGGGCAAGTATCTGATGCCATGTGTTTAGTTTGAGTGTTTCACTGTTCGGTTCAATCGCTCTTGCCTTTTTGTAACGGCAAGGTTTCGATTTCTGGAGCAAAGTAAGGAAAAGCGAGCCGAGCAGCAGTTCTTTGGAAGGGGCTAAATGCTAGTTAAACATCGGTAGTTTCAGTTTTCTGGACCACCGCTTTGGAGGAAAACAAAGTGAAGCAGAAGAACGAAAGCAATTAGGTGACATTTGAACTTCCTGTCTGAGCAAATTTGGTCTGATTGCGAAAGCTGGTGGTGGATTTGCCTGCAATTTCAAGGAGATGCCTTTCCTGTAGAATCCCTGACATGAAAGCAAACAGGCACAAAGAAGGCCTGGCAGGGGGAAAAAGCAAATATACCTGATAGCTCCTCTCTTTTTTTGCATGCTCGCCTATTGCTTTGCTTGTGCATTATTCATCTATATCATACATTTAGATTTTTAGGATATATTAAAATATGTATAATCTCACACACCATTTGCTACCTTTCTGCCAAACTGAAGGTGACATTTAAGCATTTGAGAAAGTCAGCTATAGTCGACAGAAACATAATGGCACAATAAAATTGTTTTTAGAATGTCACAGGATTCTTTATCATTTTAACACCCTCATATGTTTATATAACTATTACTACCAGGTATATACCGGTAATAATAGCAAAGAGGATTGTGACAACTTAAAGGCTAACAAATTTATTATGGTATAAACTTAGGCCATATTAAATTTTTAAAAGATGTCACAAAACGGTTGCTTATGCTGGGGCAGATTAATATGGTTAGCCATCTGAAAATAGGTTGTATTATGTTATATTGAGAGGTATACTTGTAAGGCAGGAGTTACACAAACTAGGCTTTCCAATACAGTGCCATATAACATTAGCAAACATATCTTCAAATATGCAGATAGGCTTGAGTGCCATATCACAAACACATAGCCGCAGCCCAGTTTAAAAAATGAGATGCAGGATTGTTTATTGAGAAATAAGTCCTACTATGCTCAATGGCACTTAATCCCAAGTAAGCATATGTAGGAATGCAGCCTAATGTGGTCTCTGAATAGGCCAATCCTGTGCATGTTTACTCATAAGCAAGTTAAACTAAGCTTAATGGAAGTTACTCCAAAGTAAATGTGCCACTTATTGGGCCATAGATTTAAGCAAACTGGGTTCTATTTCAATTTGGAACTAGGTGATTTAAAATAAAACACAACATATTTGTTTTAATGCATTTGATTTTTGTTAGCTCAAATTAGTTTGAGGTACTTTGCAAATATATACAACCCAGTCAGATAGGCTGGAGACAAATAATAAAAATATTATTTCTGCTTAAATTGAAATGGGCCATTTAGGAGATATACCCAAAGCATCAGCCAAATGTCATCTTGGAAGCTGAAATTCCCACCAAGTAAGATGAAGATTATTTCAAAGTAGATGTGCTAGCTAGAGGTTCAGGGGACATCATCCGCAGGGGGGTTATCTGTAGCTTTTATCTTGGGCAAAGTAATGAAGGATTTCTATTTCTATTTACACCTTTGCCAAGGTAACACTGGCAGGATTTGGTACCGAGGAGATCTTCTAACTTGTAAAGAGATGAACCCACCCCACCCCACAAGTAGGCCCTGGGCCCTCTGGGGGAGGAGCTCAGGGGGGTCCTCCTTCGGTTTGGCTTGCCACTTCCTGCCCTAATCACCCGAGGTCTCCAGGAGCGCTTACCTTGGTCGGTGATGGACCTGATTCCTAAGATGTCGGTGACGGAGTGGGAGGAGGGCCACGTGCGAGGCATATGGACGGCGCTGTGGATGGTGGGCACCCCGGGCGGGGTGGGCACCTTGGCCCCCGCCGCCGCCGCGATGGGGCTGGGGTAGGAGTAGATGTGGTTGTAAGGTAGGGCGGGCTGCGGGGCCGCCTGGTGCTGCTTGTAGGAGTCGTAGTGGCTCTGCTGCGAGAGGTTGCCGATCTTGTTGCGCAGGATGCGGCTGATGGAGCTGACCGAGGGCACGTTGTACTTGTCGCACACGCCGTCGGCCAGCAGCCGGTCTCGGATCTCCCAGGCGAAGATGCCGGGGTCCCTTTGTTTGTAGGTCCGGATATGCTTCACCACCGTGGGCGTGGTGACCCGGGGCTTGCTGCCCCCGATGGCCCCCGGTAAGATGGAGCCCGTCTCGTTGTAGCGCGCCAGGATCTTGCTGACACAGCCGTGCGAGACGCGCAGCTGCCGGCTGATGTCGCACGGCCGGATGCCCAGCTGGGCTAGTTCCACAATGCGGAGCCGGATAGCGTTGGGCAACGGGCGCCCGTTGACGAAAACCCCGCCGAGCTGGTTCACCTCCCCGAAGGCTGGCTCTGTGGGGAGAAGTACAAGCACCGCACATAGGACTCGCTCGGGGGAACAAGCGCAGCCCCGACGCCCCCCAACCCATTTCTAGCCTGGACCCGTTTACTTGGGAGGAGGAAGCCGCCTCGCGACTGCAAGGGCGCAGCTGCATTCCCAGGGATCGGGCCGAGCGCGCCACGGAGCTGGAAGCAAATTCCACGCAGAGCCAGGCCTCGCTTCTCCCTCGAGGTACGGCTCGCCCCCGGGTCACCGGCCTTGGCAAGAAGCGAGGCCCGCGGGAAATGGTCACAATCCTAGGCACGCTTCCCTGGGAGTAAGGCCCCCTGAAGTGAGCGGGGCTTTCCTTCCAAGGTTTGGGCTAGGGCTGCCAAAAAACCCAAAAAACTCTTTTCGGACCGCGGTGGCCCACCCGTCCGGAGAAAATGCTATTTTTTGAGGGGGGAAATCTCCTCACAAATCTCCATCCTAAAGCATCCGTCTGCAGCTGTGGAACGGGCGCAACAGCAGCGCGGGCCGCGATCCTAAAAGACCCAGGCTTGAGAGGGAGTCACTTATGTGGAAACCACCGTTTTGCAATGAGGCGGGACGGGAGGGGGTGAGAAAGTTCGCACCGAGGCGTTACTTGGAAGCAAGTCCTGTTGAAACGGGACCCGGGCTGCAATTTCACCCACTCACCTGGGAGTAAGCCCCCTTTAGCTACAAGAGCGCTTGCTTCTGAGTAAGACACAGCTAGACTTGCGCTCTTGAATGCAGATCCAGATGCGAATAAACAAAACGAAAGGGCGGTTGTCGACCACTAATTTCTGCCCCCCTCTTCCTGTTCCTCCCCTCTCTCTGGGGTTTTTTTTTTTTTTAAAGAATATGATTAAAATTATCTGGTCTCGTTCAGCCTGGAAAATTTAAGTTCTGGGAAATGCTGGCGAGGCAGCGGCGAGCAGCTAGCCAGAGCTGCGGAGCTCCTTTCCTAAGCCAGCAGCGCTTGGGAGATTCCCTCAGAAATACAAGTAGTTTAAAGCTAAGGGCGAAACGCACGGAAAGAGGGCACCTCGGGGGACGAGGCGCCCGAGCTATCTGCCTCCCTCCGGGCGAGCCCCAAATTACAAGCCCAGCCTGACTAGGATCGCCCGCTGCGGCTGAAGCTGCTGACCCTTCGCGCGTCCCTCCAACTTGTAGGAACAAGAGCGAAGTCGAGAAGGCGCTTCCAGGCGCCTGAGCTCACGCTGCTGCTAGCTCCTGCCTCGCCAGCCCCGCACCCTCCTGCCTTCTCCCTCCCCGGCCCAACTTACCCATGGCTCGAGTCAGGGCAACCGCGGAGCGGGAGAGACGTGTGGTGGGGGGGTTGCTTTTGCTTTTGCTTTTTTTGGTTTTTCAAGATCCCCCAAGGAAACGAGGCGACCGAGTGCGCCTTGGCCGGCCTGGCGCAGTGCGCGCTGGAGGAGGAGGAGGCCCCGGCGGCTGCCTCCGATTTCCACCACGCGAGCCGGCGACGGTGTCAAGGAAAGGAACCCCGAGGAAGTCACTTTCCTGAGACAGGAGACTTAAGTTCTGCATTTCAATCTCGCAGCAACGTGGGCTGGGCTGGGCTGGCCGGGGCGGCTCAGGCTATCACTCAGCAGGGGAACGCCCTCGCCAAGGGCGGACCTAAAGGAGAACGGGCCCTCTCATTGGCAGAGGAGGGTGACAGACATGCTCGCCCTGGAAGGGCCTTCCGTTCGCTTTCGCAGGCGGGCTTGGATCAGCACCTGGGTTCCCGGCGCAGGGGCAGCTCACAATAGGTGCGCGATAGCTGCGCAATAGCAAGGAAACTAATGCCGGAATGTGCCAGATGCATTAATGAGACGGGTAAGCAGCTCAAGACTGTATAGTTTTCATTAGAGAGGGTCCACCTTTTGCCGTCCAGAACCTGCAGATTTTCAGTGGTTGCTAATAATGCAATTTTTTTCCTTCTACATTTGCGGGCAAAGTAATGTTTTCAAAATCAGAAGGTTTTCCCTCCCTCCCACCCCCTGCACAAGAAAGTATGCTTTCTTTTGTAAGAAATTGGTTATGCGTTCTAGGAAAGTGTCAATCATTTAAAAAGAGCTACGGACGTCTTTCTAAGGAAAAGTATTAATACAGTGATCAAATGGCAACAGAAAGTGGGAAGTCAGCGGGTCCCATTTTCTACACATGGAAAGGAAAAACAATAACTTTTGAATTCGTGGCTCCATGAACGAAATTATCAAACTTACGTTTACGCACTTAAATCACCCCAGCTAATATCTAGCTGCCTACACACACGTTCACGCACTTTTTTTTTCTTTGTTGAAGCCCGGAATAAATTAAATCTGAGTGGCTTTCTATGGGAGTCGCTTCCCCTAAGTATCCTTATGACAGCACTCCGAGGAGAAGAAAAATCAGCAGAGCTACAACTGCCCAAAGGCAGGCAGATCATGATGCATTGCTGGCTGGCGGGTACAATTTCCTCTAGGCATCCATAGGTCCGTAGGTACCTATTTAAAAAAATAAAAAAATTAAAATTGCAGGGTCCTAAAACGAGAAGGTCACTGGCCCATTAACGTTCCCCTCCTGCAAACGTTTGGCCTGTCTTTAAACGTAGCTCCGCCAACGTGAAAATTTAAGTAATTTGGGAGGAAGTGAAAGAAAAGTGCTGGCCGTGCTTGTGGCGAGCTGGGCTCGGCAACACATTCGTGGATGTGAAAGGCTGTGATGTGTGTTTTGGCTGGCACCGCGGTGCTTCTGAATCGAGAGGTCTAATGTTCAGAATATTGACGCGCAGCGCAGATAACACCCGCAAAAACCTCAAGGCAGAGTTTTCTGGGCATTTTTTTTTCGCCCGGTTGCTAAGCAGGAACCTTCTCCTTAACGCCCCCCCTTCCCCCCCAAAAAAAATCACTAACGCACGTCCTTTAGGGAATGGACCTTCTCGTGTTTTAGGATCGGGTGGCGAAGGGTTTTCTTGTCCAAGAAACACCATCGGGCCCATTAACGACTCCGTGTGAAAACACTCAGCTAGAACAGTGAAAATCTGGTCGGCGTTGCTTGCAAATCGCCGAACGGAGCTGAGCAAATAGGTCAGGCTTTTCTTTTAAGAACGAATAAAGGCTGCTGGGAACCCAGCGCCGCATCAAACGGGGTCGTCTGGGTTTGAGTTTGAGTCGAATCCCTAAACAGGAGTGACTGGCGTACCAAGTGGAAACCCGAGGCGAAAGAAGCTGCCTTGTGGCCAGTGTCGGTGGAAGAAAGAGCTTGTTATGGGCCGGGACGGGTGCTTTCAAAAGCTCAGAATACCCATTGAAACCTTTGCTCTGTGCAAGAATGAATGGGGGTTTCGTGTGTTCTCCGGAACGTGGTTTGAGGCCGCTTACAAACCAGCGCTCCACTTCTAAACAAAGAGATTTCTTCCGAGCGAGGACGTGCAGACCTCGTGACGCAAGGCAGCCCCACGCCTTGGAGATGCGCGGTCACCCTTTCGCTACAAGACTTTCCCCCCAGTGATAAGAAGTGTGGATCCGGGAGCAGCGGGCCACAGCCACCGCTTTGGGGGTAAAAAGGAGGCCAGCTCTGTGGAGCGTAGACAGGGCATTCTCACGCAGGCTGACTTGTGAAACTGGCAATTATATCACTTGAAATGTAAAAAAAATTAAAATGGATAATGGACTCGTGGCGAAATTTAAGCAGCTCTCCAAAACAGCGCCGAAGAATTCTGGGTAACACCGAAGTCTACATAGGCTGTTGCAGCCTACTGAGTATTATCAGTTAACGACAGACCTGGGCCGGCAAAAGGACTATGTTGGACTTAATTCGAATGCACACCCCGAGCCGTAAACTAGTTACCTTGAAACGCTGGGGCTGGAACATATTTTCTTCTTTTTTTCATATCCTTGTCCCTACAGTCCTAAATCCATGAGGTGGAATTAAGTCCAATGATGATGGTGATGGTAATAATAATAATAATAATAATAATAATAATAATAATAGATTTAGAATCCTGTTGTCATGTTTAGTCAATGGCAGTCACCTCAACCCTATCAAGTTGTTTCAGGCCCTGTTTGTTTCAAGGTGCCCTGTCACTGCTGTCATTTAAGATCGCAGCCGAAGCACCTCGAAATCCTAATCGTTCCCCTTTAACTTCCCTGTGTGTAGATCAGGCTGCTGATATTCCAGTGATATCCCCTGAATTTACCCAAGAGTGAAACTCTTTGACCCACGCCCCAGTGAAGCCTCGCTAACTGGACAAAAGATCTCCCCCAGCGCTCGTCGCGTTTATGTGGATTTTCATGACACTTCCTTCCAAGGACCCGCGAGCTCATGATCAGACCAGAGTAAATTCTGGCATTCCAGTTTAAAGGGGGAGGCGAGTCCTTGTTATTGGGACTGGAGTTTTAATCGGTAACAGCCGCTCCTAAACACTTTTATCGCGGAAGGCGGTTCAGTGGATTTTATAATGGGACTTCTTTCCAGTTGAGGTTGCAGTCCTTTATTTCAAGCAAATCGCTCCGTTAATCTTCCTAAATAGTCGTGATAGGCTTGAAGTAGACAGCTTCGCCCACGACTACACCCCTACTATGCCCAGTTACTTTGCAGGAAGCCTCACATTTAACTCATTGTAATGGATGTCCTGCATCGGTCGGGGGTTGGACTAGATGCCCTTTGAGGTACCTTCCAACTGTATGATTCTGTGAACTTATTTCCGAGGAAACGCGCATGATGGCGCTGGTGAAAACACCTCACGTGCGTCCGGACCCATCTCCGATCAGCGACCCTCCGACCTGACGGCCGTTTGAACATTTGGCCCTCTGATCTCTGGCAATTCCTGCCACCCAACCTGAACGGAGAGCCTTCTGCTGGCAGTAATGTATGAGGCTTTGTTCTAGCTTTATTGGTTTGTTTGCTTGTTACATTTGTATGCCGCCTTTCCTTCCAAGGAGCTCCAGGCGGCGTACAATGGTTCTCTTCATCTAATCCCCACAACAACCCTGTGCGGTAGATCAGGCTGAGAGGCCCAAGCTCACCCAAGTGGCCGGATGAGGGTTTGAACCCTGGTCTCCCGTGGCCTAGTCCACACATTCCGCCCACCCTCCTAACGTCCTAGAAACGAGTCCTCCGGCCATCTCCATTCCTTTTTGCGCGTTCCGCTCTCGCCCTGAGACGTCTTCTTTTCCCACCCAACCTGCCCGTCCATACCTTCCCGACCCCCCACCCCGACCCCCAGCCACAGCAGCTCCAACTCCGCCTCTCCCATCCATCCCACCATCCCTCCATCGCTGCCTGCTTCCCGGTTCCTGTTTCTCAATGTGTGTTCCTGATGTGGTCCTGTCGGAAAAGCTCGTTTACTCTGCCCGGGTCCCCAGTGGTTTAAGGATAATGTTTATCAGGAGTGAACGTGCTCAACTTGTTTCCATTGAACTGCTGAGTGTGGGCTGAAATAACAAAGGTCACATCCACAGTGAGCCTGGCGAGGGCGAGGGAGCCGAGAGGAATATGAAAACATTATAATAAACAGCAGCCTGTTGATCGCGCTGACCTGCCTGGCAAAAAGATTAATTTCAGGTACAAAATAATGAAATAATTGGAGGTAGAGAAAGAGAAAAGGAGGAGGGGGTGCAGAAGAGGAGGAAGGAGGGGGCTGGATTGGGGAGGTCGAACAGAAGGTTTCCTTTCCTGCAAATCTAATCGTGCCATAAAAACGGATGCGAAATAGTGCGCGCGTCGGAGCTCTGGGTAAACTCTTTTGCTGGGCTGCGAGGCGTCCCCGTCTGGCGACTGCGGGTTTCGGGGATTCGAATGAGAGTATCACATCCACTGATACCTCTTTTTCTTGGCTCCCCGCCGCAGAGGAGCGCAGAGTGCTCTTGGCTCAAGGCACCTCAGGCCAAAAAGGGACTGAGGAACAGAGACCGGTGGGTTGGGTTTGAACCGTGCAGCTCCTGGTCCTGGCACCCAGAAAAGCCCAGACCCACCAGCGGATGGAGAGATCAGCCGGATCCTATCCATTGTTCTCATTAACTAGGAACACTTCCATTGAACTCAGTAGGACTTGCTTGGCTAGCACGCAGGTCCTGTTTGCGGGTTTCCCACGGGCCACTCTGTGAACAAGATGCTGGACTAGATGGCCGATTGATCTGATTCCGCAGGCTCTTATGTGTAGTGTGTGTATAGGCTGCAAAGAGCTCTGGGTTGCAAAGTGCTCATTGCGATGAAAAAGTGCTTCAGCACTAAATGAGTCTTAAATCATTATTAATATATTGAGTAGTATAATTAATTCGGTGGTGGTGATTGTAGTGCTGTAGGTAGTGTTGGGAAAGAAATCACTCCCCTGCGAGAATAAACCGGCGCAGGGACAGCGCGTAAGCAGCCAGGATGCAATCCTAAAGGCAGTTACCTAGGAACGCAACGGGGAGCTGTTTCTGAGTAAACATGGATATGATCGGGCAGCAAACCGGAGGCGTATTTAAATACGTACATTACAAGGTGATTTATTGCCCGAGTCATAACTCAGCTAAGTGGAAATGTTTGCATTTCAGCCCGTTTATTGCTCTGGCACGTTAATCCTTCCCTGATTATTCCGACAGGGATTCTCCTCCACCGCCT